ACATCTCTAGATCAAGGTAAATCAAGGTAAATTATATAAAAATGTTGAAAAGTAAAATAAGATAACCTCTGTAAGAAAAGTGGAAGACAAATGGAGATAAATTTTTAGTGTTGAGTTAAATTTGAGTACTCACTAGTTTGTTTGATTTCCCTACCAATACCATGGTGTTACTATGCATACATACACAGCATCGTTTTAATGGTGCTGTACATCAAAAGATGAAAAGAAATTCAACCATTTGCATGAATTGGTTGCCCCCAGAATTACTGTATATTGAAACTCAAGAAGTTAACTTACGTAGGGTTCATCAAAAGCAAATTAGAAGCACTATATATCATGTAACCAACGGCATTTCACTAGAGATTTTCATCGAACATATAAATTACTAACTCAATTTGGTTACTACTAAATGGTGGAATAATTCATGGTTACTAACATCCTAACTAATTTGAAACATGAATTTCACAAGCAGTTTAGGTCAACTCTCTTGATGGTATCATCAATTAAAATAAGCACACTCTCTTGATGGTATCATCAATTAAAATAAGCACATTGTCATGTTGGCTGGGGCCTCCAACATCAAACTGAGTCGCTTTCAAAGAATATACCAACCAACAACAGTGACAAATAAAGCAGTGTTTCGAGGGGCTGGCTCCCGCTTAATTATTGTTGAACATAAAAAATCTAGAAGTGCCGCAGACTTACAATTTCATACTTCAGACCAAACCATGGAAGGGCCTGGATCTTCCATCTGTAAAATTCCCTAACTGGAGGTCCTATCTATTTAGAATTCATTGATGAGCTACTGGCATAGTACCCTGCAACAATTAGGTCTATATTGTATTATAAGACAACTGAATTTGTCATGGTTGAGACATAAAATGCAACCATTACAAAAGTTATGGTCCTTAAAGAAATAATCCTTTTAAGCAAATTTCTGGAAAACATTTTTGTGGATTCCCAACATTGCTTTGTGGTTTTGGTAATTATGGAACTGAAAAAATAAGCTTAAAAGCCCAACATTTTAATTGAATAGGCTTTACAAGGTTTTAGTGGGAAGTACACATAATAAAATGTAAAAATATGAGAGGACATCAGTAAAAAAGTTATGATGGTATGATGAATGAATGAATAAACCATAAGAATTATGAGCTTGCTATTAACTGGACTTCCAAGTAAATTATCAGTCACAAGTCAAATCATATTTAATATAAATACACAATTAGCCATAAAAGATCATTGAGAAAAAAGAAAAAAAAAAGAAGAGGACTATGATAAGCAAGCTACGATGCGTGACATCACTCACTATTACTTGTGTCAATGAATCGCAACAGAGTGTGTTACATTGTCAACAAAAGGCTTTATAAATTAATTCATAAACAATGCCTTTTGATTGGTTGTGACGTTTCTTTTTCAGGTCAATCAGGTCACTCAGGGGTCGAATTTGTTTACCATTTTAAAATTTCTGAAATCGGTCGCCATATATATCAATATTTTCAGCTTCTACAATTTACAGTAAAATTTGTGATTATCATTAGTTTTTAATTTGTTACTTTCATAAATTAGTTTTTTGGCTACGTTCAGACTTGGAGATAAGCCAGGCTTGAGTTAAGCCCGGCTCAACTCTAAGCCCGGCTTAACATTCACAGGTGTTCAAACTAGCGGGATTAGCCAGGCGCGAGAATTTTCAAAATAATGAGAACCATAACCAGCAAACATTTCAAAACATTGCTCGTGAAACACACGCTCGCTCACAGCGTAAGTAATTGAATGATGATTGTTTATTTTGTTACCCGAAGTCAATGCAAGACCCCTCTGCAACGATAGGCCTAGTTAATATAGGAGCACAGCCCGGCTTGAGATAAGCCACCTAGTTCAGACTGGCAGGTGGATAAACCCGGTGAGTTGAGCCGGGTTTATCCACCTAGTCTGAACTAGGCCTATGTATCTAAAGACTATCATGAGTTTATTTGCCAAATGTGAATGTAATACGATGTCTAGCAATAGTATTTTTTTAATTTGCAAAAACAACAATCTGCCATGGATAGGCCGCGTGTACACATTGCTTCGTGAGGCATACCGAAAGTGTGCCACATAAAAGGTAATATTTATGATGGAAATAAAGCAGTTATGTGTATAAAAAGTTACCTAATTGTTACTCTAAAAAAAAACAATTAAATATTAAGAGGATTATATTTTCAGGAGACTATGCTAGATTTTTCCATGCAAAGATTATGTCATGCGTAACAGCCAATATAGTAGCAAAACAAAACAGTGACAGAAATCTTACTGTTTACATATAACTTGCTATACAATCGCTCAGATACTTCAAATGTTTATAACCAGTACGTAACAGTTGTTCAATTTTGCTCAAATGAGTTTTTTTATGTTCCTGAGAATTAACTATGATGTAACAAGTTGGTGCATGACTAAATAAATTGGAGAATTTGTATAGCTTTCTGTTAGAAAAATATTATTTGTCATTTGAAGGTAGATCATACCTCCATAGCATAGTACATAAGAGATAAAAAGGCATGGAGGAATATAATTACCTAGGTAAGTAGGCTTATAAGGAGTGTTACTTCAGTGCAAGTTGAGTCGCAGATAAGAAACCCTCGCCAATTAAAGGGGAAGACTTAATAAATACTTACCCATGTGTCGTACAAATCCTCCCAGTCCCAGTCCATCATAAACTATGTATCATTCAAGAGCAAGTAAAGTCGGAGTATTATATCCAAGTTGGGAAAGTATACACCTCAAACCAAGAAAAAATATACTTGAAAATCCTCTTTACAGTGTGTGCATGGGGCCAAAAACAGCCTGCACCAATCCTCTAATGTCGGTTTGAATTTTTCAAAGTAAAGAAGCAGATGTGTTTCACACCAGGTTACCTCGGACTTAAACTTGTGAGCAGTGCTCAATGGCTTGCAAGGTGGTAATAACCTACTACCAAGGAGGTATTAATCCATCAACAGAGAACTAGAGTGGGCCCTCTAATTATAATTAGGTAATAACATTCCATAGAACTTAGCTCAAGGCCTAAAAAGAGCTGTTACTATACCACAATTTTAATTGACTCTACTGTGAGTATGGCTATCAGCAAGAAGGCTCAGTGCATGCCTAGATCCTGATGAATTAAGAGGAAAGGTCAAGGGTCGTTGTTACTGGTTTCCCTTTACATGGTATACAACTTAATTCTTTTATACAAAGAAAAAAATATGAGATAATTATATATAAAATAAAGTTGTTGAAAGAGGCTAAAGGTTGTAAGGTCAAGGGTAACATTGGTTGCCTGATTATTAGATGATTACTACCATGTGTAAATGCTATCAATGGCAAGACTGCCAGATTTTAACCACATTCCAATTATGATTACTTCAAAAATGATCTGTAAATCTGCGAGTTATTTGAAAACATTCTGTAGAATAGAAATAGGAATAATTTGCGTGGATCCGCATCTGTGAAAACCTTGTTCTAATGCACAGAAGCAAACGATGCCATAAAATAATAACAATGATATATGCACTTGACATAATTAACCCACAAATTGAACTGGGCTCCCTTAGGGCTAGTAGTATTATCTACACATTGGCATTGCAACTAACTAGATACCAAGTACTATACTCCTAAGGCTGGAATGTATTCTGCATGCAAATTTCACTCACTGTCTGAACTATTCAGTGTTAAACCAACTACAGGTATGTCACTGACGGACACTAGACAACACGACCTGACAGGCATCACTGATTTTGACAACAATTCAAGTGAAAAATGATTGTTATGGATATGTGAACTTTGATTTTTAAACTTTACTTCTACAAAATTAAGATCTTGCACACACTATAATTCTTCAAATTGAACAATTTTCCATTCCTACAGCAACTTCAATGACCGCTTTCTTACAAGTAATGAATTGTTACCACCGAGGTATAACCATTGAAACATGTTGGCAACAAAAAATAATTTGTGATTAATGGGAGGAAAACATTTCTACTAAAAGGTTGGAAGTTTGATTTTGTTAATCTTTGTCTTCAAGTGCTCAACCTACAAAGAACAAATTTTGGCTTCCTATTTAAATAAACAAATATAGTTTCACCAATACAAATATTTATACAGCATGAGCTTTCAAGTGAACCTAAAAATGTTTTTGTCAGTTGCTAAATATTTAAAAAAAAAAAAAGTTGTGAACTACATGAAATTGTAATTTATGTCATTTTTAGAGCACATAAATTTGGTCTCTATGCACTTTACCTACTAGATGGACAAATTATATTACATCTTTAAACTTAGATCTTGAAATGACGAGTATCAAAAATTAATTCCAGGGAGTGGTAGCAGAATAGCATAATAACATGTATTTCAATCACAGACAAGTCTAGGCAACATCTATGGAAGCTGTTGCTGCAAAAGCTGTTGGTGCAAAAGCTGTTGGGGGAAAGACTGTGGTTAAGACTTTAAATTCGGGGGTTTGAAACCCTTGCTGTGCAAGTTGCTTGTGTCCCTCACAAAGGCACTTTATCCACGTGATCTCTTCAACCTGGAGTGGGTAAGTGGGTATTTATACTTCCTCCATAGGTATCATGCAAATAGCTGACGTAATAAATGTGGAGAAGCGCTCTGAGACATAGTTGTGTCACTCTACTACAGCGCTATATAAACACTGAAATATCATTTTTATTATTATTATAACATAGTTCAATAACATACATGAAAAACTAACTGCCTTTACTCCTTAGAATTTCAAGTTGCTCAAAAGGGGGCATGGCCCATTTGCCAGGGAGCTCTCCAGCCACAACAAAGAAACCAAAATAGACACAATACATGTTGTACAATTAAGAAGGTTCCTGTAAATACTTCAAGTATAACTAGACTTGCTAGAAGCATTACTTGACCCCTTTAACTTCCCTTATAATAACTTTCACTTTGTATATAAATAAATTACTTCCATTAAAGAACAATACATTATTCGAATAACAATATGTTGAATGACAGTGACTCACTCTATGTTGTTCCAGTAGCTCTTTTACATCGTGCTTATCTTCTAAGGAACCTTCTAGGAGAGTTTCTGTATCCATGGAGCCCAGTCTCGTTTCCATGGTAGCAACCCAGAGCATGAAGTCATCTGCTTGTCCATCATAGTCTTGTAAGGACCTCAGAGCCTCTTCAATTTGATTGATTCTCAGCTTAGACCTGTATATTAGCAGGGAAAAGATGAAAGGAAAACCGAAAAGGTTATAATGATATTGCTAACAATATAGGTATTCTGTTTACACAATTCAATCAACACCAAGAGAATTCCTACTTTCAACACCACAATCTTGCTTCACAGTCAATTAGCATTATATGAGCCTACACACTACATTATAGGCAATCATATAATGGAGATCTCTGGATGTTTACTTCATCAATATTAAGTATTGAAGGAATACACTAGTGCACAAATGTAATTAGACAAACTCACATCAATTAAAGAACAGAAACAAGATGAATATAGACTGTCCATTTAATTAATTTGCATAAAGTGGCATACAGTATTATCTTGAATAGGCCCTCAATTATTTAGAGGTAGATAGGCCCAATAAAAAAAAATAGTTTATCACACATATGCCTTCTATGGTACTAGGGGAAAAAATGATTTTTTGTTTTGTTTTTGGGGAATTTTACTATTATTTTTTAAATTACTCTTTTATTTTTATTTATTAAACAGTTAGTAGATATTGTTTGTATTATCACAATCATGTGTTAATTTGAATATCAATGCACCAGCAAACAACCCAAGGGTAATATTTGATAAGTGAGGCTTCGAAGGAAAAAAAATGTTGATATGTTGTAGAACTGATTTTTCTAAGACAGAAAATGTTTACACCTTATTCCCCCAGTTTTTAAATATTAAAAAATCTGTATCTCATTCACCGTTCCCCAGTTTTTCATCAAACAAGTTTTTTCTGATCAGTTTTATCAACATATCAAAAAATTTTTTCCCCTCCGGAGCCTGACTGCAAAAAAAAAAAAAAAAAAAAAAGCTTCCACCCTCATCACTTTTCCAGCCTTGATAGGGTGATAAACTAATAATATTTTTTATAGGGCCTAATTCTTTTTCATCATTCTTCTATTTTTTTTTATGCTTTTTGATATTTTGTTTTGTTACCATATTCATGGGATTTTAATGATGTATGCGTACTGTACTGGGCCCATTGGAAGAATAGTAACATTTTACTGAAGAGGTAACACAATTATCAAATTTTCTGTGACAAATATCTGTGTTTGGCCATATATGGGCATGATGTCAGATCACGCTCATAATATGCAAATGACAGTTATTTGTCAAAGTTGATACAGTTGACAGAGCTTAACAACAAATCATAATAAACAATTCTAATACAATAGCAGGCAGATACACACAGCCATTGTATATCTAGAATGACCTTTAAAGCAATGCAATTAAAACACTGAATTGCTCATATAGCGATTAAAAACTGAATATGCACAAATTCTAGGGTTTACTAATCTGTGTGATTGGAAAATGTGATCTATTTTGATAGTCTAAGGTGACTCTTTACAGATTTACCGCAAGACTGAAATTGCTTAAAAAAAATTGAAACAGGTAAAATGTCAAAAAGGTTTTTATTCTTTTTTTTTTAGTAGAGAAACCAACAAATCTTATCTGTACGTTATATACAGTAGGTGGGACTATGCAATACCCTCTATAATACAGCACAGGAATAATGCTGTACAATAATAATAGTGTAATGTGCAAAACAGGAAGAAAATAAGAACATTTTGAGCCTGAAATCAATGTGAATGCGCGAAAAATGAAAAAAAAAACCAACAAAACACTGAATTTTGTACAAATGTATCATGTTTTGGAATTGGTATCTTCTCTCTATTTTGTATAAGTAGACCCAATTTCCACCTTGAACAGAAACCTCTTGGCAGTGTGTTAAAAATCCCTCTATTTGACCAAATTTACAGTAACTGTATTTCCCAAACTTTAGTAATGGATGTAATTTGTAAAGTTCCATCATGCCACCAGGTCAGCAGATACAAAAATCTCAACATCAAAATTTAGATGCACCAAGAGCAAAGATGAATCCCTTACCAACCATTAATAATTCTGTTAGTTACCAGTAAAGTGACAGCAATAAATAAAACATGGTTTACATAGTGCGCTACCATTCCACAGGGTTCAAAGTTCATGGCAGAGAAGTTTATTTGATATGGCTGGTTGTGACTTCACAATCAAGAATTTAGTTATTTCAGTATTTTGAAGATATTGAGCTATAAACAATAATAAAAAAAAAACTACATTTTTAAGTTGCTATTCACCATTTTCGCTAAATTTGCAATGAAATTTCCAAAGAACCTGGCAACTACCACTGGGGAACAACCATAGGCCTAGGCATTTTGACCAGTGTTTTATCTGTACTGTGACCGGTGAACGACTTTCTTGTTGTAGTGAGTTTCGAGACATTGGTGGCGCAGTTTCAAAATACACCCAATAAAATGGTTTATAGAAAGAAATGATCATGGCAACTACCACCGAGGAACAACAGAGGCCTAGGCATTTCGACCAGTGTTTTATCTGAGGTGAGACAGGTGAATGACCTTCATGTTGTAGTGAGTTAGCCTAGTCTTTGAAAACAAAATGGCAAAAAAAAAAGGGGAAAAAAGGGAAATAGGGGAGGGGGGAGAAGAGGGCGCATTAAACCTGCAGTGTATTTATCTATTTATTTGATGACACTACACCTTTGCATCGATGACATAAACTGTGGTGCCGTCTTACAGAGCACACAAGTATTTGAAGGAAATAGAAGTACTCAAAAGAAGATGTGTTTGGAAAACAGAAATTGCGAACAAAATGGTGCTCTGGCTAGATGTCCTCACATCCCCCCCCCCACTCAAAAGCTGCAAAACATTAGTGGTGCTGTTTCAAAATACACCAAGTAAAATGGTGTATAGAAAGAAATGATCATGTATTGCTATTGCTATATAGTGAGTGCTAGGATAAGATAGGAGCATTTTTAGTGTTAAATCACACTAAGGATATCCTGCTAATAAGTCTGAAGATTTGTTTCCAGTATGGTGTCCCTCTGGTTGTGAATTGGGATACAGAGAGATAATTCCCTACAATGTTTCAAATTAAATACAGTCTATAACTGAAAGCTGGAATTTGTGTTAAAGTAAATAAAATGATAATAATAATAATGAAATTTTTAATTAGTAAAGTAATTTAATTAGTATTAAAGTAAGAAGTGATCAAATGATTTAAAACGTCATAATCTGTGAAAATATTTAGGGGTTACAAATGCAGTTTAGTTATGTTTTAAACTGACATTGGAATGTAAAGTAATGATACGTACAGTATTGCTAAGAAAAGTCAGAGGAAAAGTTTTTAGATGAATATTTAAAAAAATAGGCTTATATACCTTGATTTCCCTCAATTGAAATTTCTTTCATAAACAACTCCAAAATACCACCTTTATTATCCCAATTCCTTATTCTTTATGTACCTTTACTACTGTTCACAGGATTCTCTGAATAAATGCTCATAAATAACCAAAACCGTGATTTAAAATAGATGAACCTATGAGACTACTGACTAGGGGAAAAACCATGTTTTATGAGGTTCCAAAGTGAGCAGAGCCTAGAAACAAACAGTGCTTTATTGATGTGCAAAGTGACAGCATAATTTCACACTACATGTACAGTGAGTAATAGCACACTTGGGATAACTTCCACTTTGATACAGACACTATTAATTACCATCACTTAAATACAGTAAAATGTTGAAAAGGTTAAAGATGAAATGCAGTACCAAAAAGTCTTCATGTTAAAGAAAGTGACAAATAATGACCACATTGTGATATAAACCAAGGGTCAATGCAGGGGCAGATCCACAGATGTCCGAAAGTGAGGCCGATAGAGAGAACACCATCCTAGGGGTCCGGGGGTATGCCCCCCACACAATTTTTGTTTGAAAATAACTTCTATGGCATTTTGGGTGATCAATTTTTTCTTTTTCTTTCTTTCTTTATTTTTTTTCCCTTCTTTTTTTTACGTTCCAAATCTTTCCCCCTAAATCTGCCCCTGAAATGCAAATGGGATATAATTCTTCCTCCAGAAACCAGAATTTGAATGGACATAACTAATATAGAAGGAAATAAAAAAAATTAGAATATACACCTGGATTATGCACCTAAACACTTAGGATCACACACTTAGACCACAAACATGAAATTGCACCTGGATCACAATCCTGAATACTTTGTCCAACTTTTATAAGTTACCTGTTTTCCATAGTAACCTAACTGAAAGGTTAATCTATAACAATGACCTGTTTATCTAACCAAGGAATACCGAGTTCTTGGAGAAGTGGAATGGCACAGGAACTCCTCCTTGTAAATGGAATTCACAAATTAGATGCTCTTTATTTGATTACTTATAATGGTTTTAGATAGTTTGATTTTATCAATTAATTTGTTGTCTAAATACACTTTTCCATTCCATCCTTTCAGCAAGCAAGAGATTCATATTTGTGATTGTTTATATTTTGTTTCAGATTGTTTATTTTATTACGTAATTGGTTGTCACATATATTCTTCTAATAAATTTTCTCTTTAGTAGTCCACATGTCTTTCCCATGACCCTATGAAGTTCACAATTTTATCACTGTTTTGTATCATGTCTAAAAGTATATGCCAATTCTCATAATATAAAGTATCTGGATTTCCACAAAGGTAGATGTTCTTTCTCTATGTGTTTTGATATATTTGTCTTAATCAGTTCTCCTAATCAGGCTTGTTGGATAGATTAATCACTACCTATCCTTAAAATAACACAGAATGTGAAAGACACTATAAATAGAATGGGTTTACTTCACGCAGTCATACGAACAGTTCAAAGATACAAAAACCGTGTCAACGTTGGTACCATAAACGTGTCCTACATTTCAACAATTTATTTTGGCTATGAAACATACATACATACTGTGTATTTATATAACACTACTACATCAAGATTTTAAAGCTGAAGAAGAAGAAAAAAAAAATACAATTAAACAGTCCCAGCAAGCATGAGGCATTACTTAACTGTGGTAAGATAAGATTTATTGGTTTTCTCTTTTATAACAGAGGAACACTCTTGCGCAGGAGAGGTTCGACTCCTACAACAGTTACAAAACAACAACTGACAATATATAAAAATTAATTATTGAAAAGAAAAATGAGTAAAGAAAAAATACAGGACAAGCAAAAGAAATGTTACTCTCATTATTCTGTAGTAATTAAGGAATAAAAAAAATAGAGATTTCAATTAAAGAATATAAAGTAAATAAATAAATAAAAATGACAAAAAATATAAGTTTATAAGTACAGTAAATAACATAAAAATTAAATATTGGTGGTAATGTTTTTCATTAGTTCAGTTCTTTCAGTCATTACTTTTGTTATATATGTTTTACAATGGTTATCTAATATAGGTAAAGTTTTCAATTGTTTTTTTTTTTAATGTTTATAAAAAGTCACATTCTCAGATATTAATTGGCAATTTGTTCCAAATGCAAGGAGCAGAATAAAAGAAAGCCCAGCAATGAGCAGACTTTAGAGTTTTAATGATATTGTATTCAGTTAGAAGAGTAGTATCATGTTCCAAATGTGATGACAAGATCTACAATATCCAAAATAATTCCTTCAAGGAAATATTTATAAAGTAGAATCCAAATTTATTGCATTTTTTGTTGTGAACATCAAATGTATATAGCCTCAGATGAATTGTAACTTAAACAACCTTGTCATAATATTATGGTTTTTATAGCAATTCATAAAGAAATGCACAGAATTAAAATGTAAATAAAAGAATTCTTATTAAAAATGTTGTTTCATTAATAAATTGTTAAGTAAAGTAGTAAAGGTAATTGTTTTTTAAAGTAATAGAATTTCAAATAAGAGAAAGTAATTCAGACACATTGTAAATATTTAATAATATTAAATAATAAGAATAAATGAACAAAAAAAAAAAAGAGAAATTCCAATGCATATTTATCAAGCGAGTACTTTGAAAGTGCGGGTATATTTCAAAGAAGTATTGTCATCGACCAATATTTTAGTATTAATTTTCCGAGGTCAATAACCCTCTCCAGTTATACGTATCTGTGCTAATTTATGCATCTTAAAATCAATAGCTCACCTTCACTTAAGGTATTTAATCTAGATGTTCTTGATCTTATGAGCCACCGTCAATGCACACTTAAATCGCAGGCCTGTATCTGCCTTTTATCAAAAATTAATCAATCGAAATGTAGATTTGTAATTGTGGTGGGATGGATGGATTTTGGGAAATTGCATACTTACCTATCGCATGTACTATGCCATCGTTCGTTTACGTGCTTCAGGATTTGTGTGATACGACGCGTGTCATCAACACTGTAGTCCGCTATCAACTTGTCGCCAGACTCGTTAACCGCATCAATGCATGCTTTCCACTGCTCTACCTCTTCCAGGAAAACCTAATTAATCAGTAGAAAACAGATTTTCAAATTACTTAAATATATACAATTATGATTTTTTTTTTGTCAAATATCTACACATTTTTTAAATGAAAAGAACTTGATTGTTAATTATAATTATTTACAATTACATTAAATTATTTGTTACCCAACTAGACAATTTATGAAAAAATAAACATGGTAAAGGTGTTTTTAATCTATATCTGATTATGAATTTTAAGGATTAAATTTATTAGATAGTAAAATTCTTTTAAAATGTAGGATCTGAATCCAAGACCTTAGGATTACAAGGCAGGCAGCTTAACAAAGTAATTTTATTGTCATTAATACAACAAGTAAAATTGAAATTTGATTTCCTCCGATACACAAAAACAATAAAAAATATCAACAGTAAGATTCTATTCTAAATAATAAAATTCCAGAGAATGACAGCTAAAAAAAAAAAATAATAATAAAAACCTTAATACAAAAAAAGTGTATATATTTTAATGCAGTTATTACTTGGAATAAAACAATCTGACATTTCATTAGAGGATTCTAATTAGAGACCAAATCTGCTAAAGACAACTAAAACCCTGGTCTTGAAAGTGCTCTTTATTTGGAAGGAGACCTGTATAATGATATTATTAAATATATCTTTTATTTATATATCATTTAATCAGCAAGTAATGGAAGATATCATTATACTTTACTTTGGAATATGCAATATCATGTTATATATTCTCTATATATGAGTCGGAGTCTTTCAGTACTTCATTGCTAATAACTATCCTAAACATTGGTACAAATCAATTATGTATGACCATCAAGTATATGAATAACAATTAATAGGAATATCATCCTATTCATGCCTCCCAAGCTGTCTTTGGATCTCATTATATAATGAAAACATCTTTACATATCATATTATTATTAGAGAAGAGTCAATATGAAAAGAGATTTGAGAGTACTGTGTGTGCTGCGAAGATTTTATCATTGTTTGTATTGTTACAGATTCCATTCTAACATTTTGCTCGCAAACAGAATAGCTAGGTAAATAAGTTAAAACAACGAATCATAAAAAGAACAATAACCTGTATTGCAAATTCCCTGAACTATAAAAGCGGTTGTCATGGGGAAATAGCTGTAGAAAATCGGAACTCCTCAAAGAACCATTTTTAATTAGACAATTTTCCTACATCAACTAGCACAGTTTTCTGACAGGACTAAGAGGTATTTACCTGTTTCTTGAAAGAAAGTAATAGTTATGGTATACGTAACACTTAGAGATTGTATTTGTACAGCTAAATGCGTTGGTTAGGGAAAATTGTATATTCATATCATTTTGCTGAATATTTCTAATTTCATTTCAAATAACAAATGTAATATAAATTGTATTCATTCTGATATATTATTTCAGGGGTTTTTCCTATTATGCTAACCATATACACTTCTTTTTTATAAGAACACATTCTGAGACTGAAACTGCTTAAAAATTAAGAACAAAATAAGAACAAATTGAGGCTGAGGTAAAATGTCAAATGAGGTTTTTAAATTATTTTTTTTTTAAATTAGAAAAACAAAAAAAATATATATATATCTGTACCTTATTGGAGTAGTTGTGAGTATGTAATACCCTCTATAATACAGTACTGTAGGTGTAACTGTCATTTGGGGCCATTTTTACCAGGTCTTTTTTCTGGGGCCATTTTTATCTACAGTGGTATACTACTGTTTAATATAATTTTCTGTGTTTGAAAAGTGTGTAAAATAAGAACAAAATAAGAACATTTTGAGCCTGAAATCAGCCAAAAAATAAGAACATTGAGCCTGGGTAAAATTTTACTGGTTCTTATAAAAAAAAAAAAGGGAATATAGTTTGGGGAAAAAAAAAAACAAAAAAAAAAAACTTGTTTATATTAATATACAATTCACCCTCCAATTCAAGACCTTTGGGAACTGAAAATTTGGGATGGTTTCGGGGGTTTCGGTCTCTAATTAGACTGTGTTAGTTTTGTGTTAAAAGATTAAAGATTTTTATTTGGTTTTTCGAAAGGGTCATTTTGAATTAGAAGGGGTCCGAATTGGAGAATTGTCACTCACATCATAAACTAACAAAATGAAAGTATACGATTGTGCTAGTTTGTGAAAACAAAAAAGGATGTTAATATACGCGCTGTTGTTGTGTGGTAAAGAATACAAAAAGTGCTTGACAACCAATACGCGCTTATTTTGACACCCTTTTTTTTCGCGAAATAACACAATCTATATTTGATTGTGTTATTTATGATGTGAGCAACGATACAGTGAATTAAAATTTATAACTACCTTTTGGGATTCCAGTTGTATCTTTAGCACATCAACGCTATCGCTGACGGGGTCCATGGCGTCGAGTTGACCCTCCATCTTGGACATCCAGTTAAGCAGCTCCTGCTTTAGATCATGGAACTGCTGCGACTCTGACAGCATCGCCTCTAGTTGATCTTTACGTGAGCTGACCTTCGCGGCAGCCTCGTCAAATAAAGCTACAAGTCTTTCAACTGCACATGGAAAAAATTTAAACAATGTTTAAAACTTTTATTTATATTCTTCTAATAAACATAAAAAATACCATATAACATCTACTCCATGTCGACATTATAGGCACTGTTATTGTTAGAAGTGGTAGAATGAGGAAAGTGAATGCACACATGGACTGTTGCAATTACTTGTTCTACTGGGATACAACACCACAATCTGAGGTATTAATTTAACTTTTGTATTGGCAGTCATGAGCATTGTAATTTCCAAAGATTTGGACAATAAAGAAATCTGTATCTGTAAAGTTTGCCATCTAACTTAAGACCACATTTGGTACCTCAACACTTAAAATTTTGTCTTCAATTAGAGGGTTTAGCTTTGTGTTGAAAAAAATTAAAAGTTGCCATTTGGTACTTCGGAATAGTGGTCTCGATTTAGAAGGGTCTCTTTGAGGGTGCACTATATTTAGATAAAGAAAACAAAACAAAAAAATTTTAAAACAGATTATCCCCAGGGCTGTGATAGCTAGGGTCATCCATGATACCAAATACCTTGAGGCCAGCATACATCTTATTAAGTTGTATGAACACATTTATCCCTGTCATCTTTTATTTATTTTAGTTTAGCTCAAATAATCATTTCATAACTGTAAAGTCCCTAGGCCTACACTTTTGGCATGGTAACTATTACCTAGGGATTATAAGTTGTATAAAAACATGAAATAGTCTGGAATTTCAACTGTGTACCCACCACACCTCCTACATTTTTCCCACATCCCTCAATATAGGCAACCTAAGTGGAGCAGGTGGCTCTGAATGAGTTATAGAAAAATGCTGACCAAAATATGTTGTATTATACCTATTGTAAATGTGAATTAGTTGTATACATGAATGAAATTACATCATTATCCTCTTCCAGTACTGTGCATAACGTCTATTAATAGAGCATACCCGCACAACGCTAAATGGTATGCAGTATGGCTTGCAGATGTGTTAAACATTTCTCTATCCCTAAATCGTGGCTTCGCTTGAGTTTTTTTGCTTTTAATAACAATTCTTCTTTCCTCTTTTTGAAAAAAAAAAAAAAAAATGAACAAAAAAATTCTTTTTTCCTCTTTTTGAAAAAAAAAAAAAAAAAAAATGAACACGGAGGGTTTTACAGTATTGTCATGTTACATTATTCAGAAACTTGGGTCACTAAAGCCTGAGTGCTGCCCTCTAGAAACAGTTGTAAATACTGTAGAGTGAAAGTTTATGGTTTATAGAATGTCATTCACTAGAAATTAACTTATACAGACAGTAAACAGTCACTCCAGTCCTACTTACTCTTCTCCTGTAGTTGTTCTTTGTTCGTTTCATTTTCGGATTCTTGTTGAATAGTCTTTGCTTTGCTGACTAACAGATCAAGTTGAGGGCGCTTTCCATCAATATCTTGTAGTAGCGACTAAATTTGTGGAATTAAATGTAGAGTAGTACATGTTACTTAAGAAAATGGTTACTTTGAAGTCAAGTACAGTAATGAACATTGGAAAAATTTTGTTTTTAAATTGATTTGCAGTGCATCGGGTATAGCTCTAAAATGAACTGTTGCATTATTGTCTTGATGTTTCAAATATATTGCTCTAATCACCTTCTACGATATTTTGGCCAATCTATTTAAAATATCAACATTTCTTTCCCAGAACATATTTATGTGATACCGCAAACCTATGGGGGTTTATTTTTAATTCACCAAGGCAACCTCAGGGCAATATTTGGTAAATTTTACTGTTTTAAAATATTACTATTGTCCTTTTAATCATCAAAATTCAATTAATTTTTTTGTTGAGGAAAATCAACAAAAAGTTAATTTTATTTATTTCCCCCTGTACATAATAATTTTAATTTATAAAAATCTAATTAATCCTTAAATAATATAATTTTCAATTATAAGTGTCTGACATGTATTAATTCATTATTATCACAGGGAGAGGAAAAGACATTTGTCAGTCTAGAGCAAAACAAATTTAAATAAATTTAAACAATCAGGGTGTTTCCCCAAAAACTTAATTAATTTATGGGTGTAATTTCCTGATTATAGGGCGTATGTTGCAGAATATAACAATAGTAAACAGAACAATTTTTGAATTAATATTTTATCAGTCGGGGGAAACCCTACAAGAATTAAATACAGATTATGATGAAAATCAAATAAACAAAGCAACATTTCAGCAGGATAATGGATTAAAAATGACCAAAGTGAATTGAAAGAAAACTATTACATCTGTTTCCCAGAAAGTGATATACATAAATGCCCAATGTGTTACTAAAGAAGAAAATGTTTAATTTATCAAAAATGAACAATTTTCTTTGGATGTTGGCAGTTTTCTTTGTTTGAATTTTCTGAAAAATTCAATTTCTACAATTAATAAAATAAAAACAACACTTTGATAACACATTAGTAAAACATAAATAAAAAAAAAAATTGTAATTGTTCATAAATGGAATAAAAAGTGAAAGAGGTTAAAGTGAGTGACTTTTACAAGACTTGAGGTCACAAAACACAATAAAACATTTTAACATATAATTTATGATAAAAAAAAAAAAAAAACGTAAATTTTTGTTTGTGTCCCAGCAAAGCAATATGCAGATTATTGTGAGACTGAAATCACCTTATATGGCAAATTTAATATTAGGAATTTACGATGAGGACTCCTTAGAAAGTAAGATGCATTTGGGCTATTTGTAAAGAAAGATTAAAAAAAAACAATTACTGTACCATCAATAAAATGACCATTATTATAGATTGCTAGAGCTAGCAATATCTCTTTCATGCCTGGGTTTACAATAACATGCACTAAGAATGCTAGACATTCAAAAAAAAAAATGTTACAAAAAAAAAATATCCCGGCAAACTGGAATGCAAATACTTTCTACATGTGGGTAGTAGTCTATATAGGGAGGTGCCAAAATCAGATTTGAAAACATTTGAGTGGCATTTCAGTGGCTGAGTGATCATAAAAAAGTGGGTGTGGCAGCTTAGGGATATGGTGTGTGGAACCTGGAAATTGGATGCGAACAAACACAATAATATGCGGGATATCCGATGAAGTGAGTTTGGAATCGGATAAAAAGTGGATATGGCATCAAATAGTGTGTATTTGAGGAAAAGAATGGGATTCAGGGAAGGAGGAGGATTCCTGGGAAATGCATGATACTAATTTCAATTTACTACTCTGTATTATTCAATACATACCATGCAATGGTCAAATGTAAACTGGAAAAAAGTTTGTCAAGAAAAGTTTTCATTATAATATTCTGAATATCTTTCTTTTTCTTTCAAAATTATATTTTCATGTCATGAAAAACTGTACAAATGGAAAACAATCTAAACACTCCTACATTATTATCTAAAAGTTAAAACCGTTAAACTTCATACTGAGCAAAGTCATTTAAGATCATTTTTACTGATAACAGTTACTGGTATAATATTCTTAAATTGATAACAATCATTGGAAGATGGTTGGATAAATTAAAATGATAACAATCATTGGAAGTTATTTGGAATATAAAGAAAAACTTACAGTGAAAAAAAAAAACATTATTGGAAATAAAAGGTGATTGAAAATATTAAGATGGACAATGTTTATAACTTCTTTACTTCTTTCCTGTTGGTAAATTACCAATTTTTCTAAAATGAGTTCCTTTGCCAATTACAGTACTGGGAAGACTTTAAAGGAAAAACAACACAGAAAAAAAAAAGATGAGAAACACATAATGTAACTTGATAGGTTAATTGTAAACAAGTATGACATCATCAATTATGATCAATATCAGTGATATCATCAATTATGACATCATAAAACTATCACACAAGAAACTAGATCACCAACTGTTACATTAACTTTAAACAAATTGTGCATTCAACTATTAATTTTAAACATTATTTCTTATTTAGTTTTCAATTGGATATTACAAACTTTTATGATTTTTTCGAGAAAATTATAATTTCCTCTATATATTACCTCAACCTAAAACATAATTAGATTTTTATAATTAAAAAGAGAAAAAAACTTTAACCAATTTGCACTGAACACATAAATACATCAAGAAGTGAGTAAGCATTAATCATTACAAAGATAACACATAATTCTAATTCTAATTTGAACATGCAAAGACAACATGCATTTTAATTGTTATGAAACTGTAACATGTGGTGGAGTGTATCCTATAGAAGGATATGACAATGCACTTCGACACTGAAGTGGCACATATGTATTTCCATATATTGACAGAAATGAAAGTAATGTATGGTAGTGTACAAAGCCTATGATGTGCTTTGATGTGTTAAATAATGACATGAGAAAATATAGATATTGAGGTGGATGGACAATAATCACATGATGGTAGTATACACAGGGGTTCCTATTGGAAGAAGTTATTGCTAGGAGATCAGGCTTAACAAGCTTTCTTAAACTCATCTTAAGCTAAGAATCCATTTGTCCTATAGCGATTGTGGTCCCGGCTCTGACTCAGTTTGCATATTACAGGGTGTTTTAACTAATTCCATGCATAGGCATTTTTAAGGCCCTTTTGCATAGATTCACCACATTGTACGGCGGGCTAATGTCAAAATGGATGAATAGCTCCATAGATTGAATACCACAAGTGCATGCGGTTACGGAGACGCAACGCAACCACACTAATGGAATCACTCTCGTTTAAAACAGTTATATCAATTAAAACATACCACACTGCAAACGGAACCGCAACCACAACCGGACAAATGCATTCCTAGCTTTATTGTATTTATCTTAAGCATGGTGCTCATGACAAGCGACTTTAGGAAGACAATTATTAACACAGTACCGTAGTAAAGACATGCAATCTGAATTTGCAGAAGATTGATGACTTTCGTGCGATTTTCGTTTGTTGCGAAAGTTCAGTAGACTATACCGATTTCTGTTAGATTTGCGCGTTCACGTACAACTTGGGCAGGGTGGCGCTAGGGTTTGCCCGACGCTGCGAGGTCCCCGACGGGGAAGATTTCGCAGACGAGAGAGCGAAGTGGGCGTGGTCGAGCAGTGCTTAAAATGTTTCAAAAGTGGTGCAAGGGGTTAAGACCCTGAAAAATTTGACAACTTAAGGGTTTCAAACGCTTATTTAATCAATTTTAGAGTGTACTAATATGTGCAAAATACATATGCTTTTTTTTATCCCCGACGAATTGTGGTTTTTCTCCCCGACAGGGGACCCAGTGGGGGCCCCTGCTGGCGCCAACCCTGAACTTGGGACCCCTGTTATACATGTTGTGTGAAAAATTATGTATATTTCCATATATGTATCAATGTGTGTGGAATTTTACCAAAGGTATGCAAAGCATAATTTGAGTGTAGGTATCATAGAAAATTTGGAGGTATATGAGAACTTGGCAATGAAATGCAAACACCAAGACAGTATTGCAGTAAAATAACTAACTAAGCAAAGCAAGTTAAACCAAAATCCGAAGATAACAATTTATAAAATATTTTAGAGGGAGAAGAGAAGAAATTTAATAATGCAAGGACAGGTACATTTATTTATTTTTTAATAAAGTGCTAATTAAAATGAACATGTAGTCAATTAAGAAACCCCTTAAGATGGACAATGTTTATAACTTCTTTACTTCTTTCCTGTTGGTAAATTACCAATTTTTCTAAAATGAGTTCCTTTGCCAATTACAGTACTGGGAAGACTTTAAAGGAAAAACAACACAGAAAAAAAAAAGATGAGAAACACATAATGTAACTTGATAGGTTAATTGTAAACAAGTATGACATCATCAATTATGATCAATATCAGTGATATCATCAATTATGACATCATAAAACTATCACACAAGAAACTAGATCACCAACTGTTACATTAACTTTTAAAAAATTGTGCATTCAACTATTAATTTTAAACATTATTTCTTATTTAGTTTTCAATTGGATATTACAAACTTTTATGATTTTTTCGAGAAAATTATAATTTCCTCTATATATTACCTCAACCTAAAACATAATTAGATTTTTATAATTAAAAAGAGAAAAAAACTTTAACCAATTTGCACTGAACACATAAATACATCAAGAAGTGAGTAAGCATTAATCATTACAAAGATAACACATAATTCTAATTCTAATTTGAACATGCAAAGACAACATGCATTTTAATTGTTATGAAACTGTAACATGTGGTGGAGTGTATCCTATAGAAGGATATGACAATGCACTTCGACACTGAAGTGGCACATATGTATTTCCATATATGGACAAAAATGAAAGTAATGTATGGTAGTGTACAAAGCCTATGATGTACTTTGATGTGTTAAATAATGATATGAGAAAATATAGATATTGAGGTGGATGGACAATAATCACATGATGGTAGTATACACAGGGGTTCCTATTGGAAGAAGTTATTGCTAGGAGATCAGGCTTAACAAGCTTTCTTAAACTCATCTTAAGCTAAGAATCCATTTGTCCTATAGCGATTGTGGTCCCGGCTCTGACTCAGTTTGCATATTACAGGGTGTTTTAACTAATTCCATGCATAGGCATTTTTAAGGCCCTTTTGCATAGATTCACCACATTGTACGGCGGGCTAATGTCAAAATGGATGAATAGCTCCATAGATTGAATACCATAAGTGCATGCGGTTACGGAGACGCAACGCAACCACACTAATGGAATCACTCTCGTTTAAAACAGTTATATCAATTAAAACACACCACACTGCAAACGGAACCGCAACCACAACCAGACAAATGATTCCTAGCTTTATTGTATCTTAAGCATGGTGCTAATGACAAGCCGACTTTAGGAAGACAATTATTAACACAGTACCGTAGTAAAGACATGCAATCCGTATGGCGCGAAAGTGCAGTAGACTATACCGATTTCTGTTAGATTCGCGCAATTCACGTACAACTTGGGCAGAGGTGGCGCCAGGATTTGCCCGACGCGGGGAGAGAGATCCCTGACCGGGGGAAACTCCCCGACGAGGGGGAAGATTTCGCAGACGAGAGCGAAGATTTCGCAGACGAGAGCGAAGTGGGTGTGGTTGAGCAGCGCTTAAAATATTTCAAAAGTGGTGCAAGGGGTGAAGCCCCCGAAAATTTGGACAATTTAGGGGTTTCAAACGCTTTTTTAATCAATTTTAGAGTGTACAAAAATACATATGTATGTGTATGTATATGTATATATATATGTGCAAAACACATATGCTTTTTTCTCCCCGACGAATTGTGGTTTTTCTCCCCCCCCCCTGAACTTGGGACCCCTGTTATACATGTTATGTGACAAATTATGTATGTTTCCATATATGTATCAATGTGTGTGGAATTTTACCAAAAGTATATGCAAAGCATAATTTGAGTGTAGGTATCATAGAAAATCTGGATGTATATGAAATGTAAACACCAAGAAAGTATTGCAGTAAAATATCTAACTAAGCAAAGCAAGTTAAACCAAAATCCGAAGATAAAAATTTATAAAATATTTTAGAGGGAGAAGAGAAGAAATTTGATAATGCAAGGACAGGTACATTTATTTATTTTTTAATAAAGTGCTAATTAAAATGAACATGTAGTCAATTAAGAAACCCTTTATGAGTTGTTGAGAAGACGGAACATGCTATTGCATTCCTTTTATACAACAGGGGCTTGAAATAATAAATGCATGAGATATACATGATACAGTAGGTGGAAAACAAGTGCTTGAATCGAAATAACACGGATGAACAAATCAACAATTGGAAAAAAAGAATGATGGTTGTCAAAAAAAAAAAAAAAAACCTGTAGCAAAGCAGAAGCCTGCAAAAGTATGCGATGAAATAAAGACGAAAATGCCAGGAAGTGTTAAAAAAAAATTCACAACAAATTAGTGAAAATTCAACCCAATTTATAAATGTTTAATATGCAAATCAACTGATCTGAATATATGCAAATGTCAACAGACCTCAAGTTGGGCTAGCATAGTCATTATGTCTACCACCATTGCCCCGATAAGCTGTCGATCGTTGGGACCTAATGTGTAGAACATGGGCAGTATACCGGACCAGACCCCCTGCCAATGAAACAAGCAAAGTTAATAATGAAATTTTTTCCATAACGTAACGCATGTAAATATTATAAAAAAAACTGGAATTATCACTGAGGCCATATTTTGTACCCTTATACACAATAGTTGATTGTTTATTGTTTAAATCATTATTATTTATAAGATGGACTGATTTCATAACTCTAAAAGTTTATTGTACAAGTTATGCCCATATTCTTATAACTGAACTTTAGTTCTGGTTCAAACTTGGCTTAAGATTCAATTTCATAAATCCTTAACAAACTTCTGATTAAATTTCTCACACGCAGGCAACCTTCAACGAAGTTGCTACAAATGCAGGTCAAATTTTCAAGTTTAGCTTTAGGGGGGCTGATTTCGAACGTCTTACTCTGCTGAAAATGTATGTCATGTAATTCGGACTTAAGTGCAGAAAGCATATAAAAATGACAGCGTTCGTTAAATGCATCATCATTCAATGAAACATTCCCATTTGTAACATTAAAATGGTGCAATTAACATGTTTAGTTAACCATATAAAATACTCTGTGATTTTGCACTGTGAGTCACGAAAAGTTTCAACAAAGGGGGCAGTATCCATGTGTGTATTTATCTTTAAATAATTCTACACACAAAGCCAGTATTATTTTGGACAACAAAGCTATGAGAATAAATATTAGATTGAGTGGGACGGGAGCCAGACGTTCTTTTACGTTATTTTTTTTTTTCAGGACTTGGCTACCTAAATTCTGTCATGGTCAGTACAAATGTATCCATGATGGCTGTTGTTATGGTCGTGTTTAGTGCAATTTGTGAATATGCCTTTTATGATGAACATCGAATCATAAGTTCAAAAGTCTACTTTGAATTAGAACTAAAATATATTTCAGAATATAGGCATCAGTCTCTAACTTGGAATATGCAATCGAAATGATTATTATCCACCACTGCATTGCTACCTTAAATACCATAACCACATTTTATTAGACTGCAGTAAAATATGCTGAGTAACTACCATGTTTCGACACATTTATTATCAGGATGCATGTATGTTCTTGGCATGTGAAAGAAACAACAGTCAATATTGTGTTGTTATTAGGCTACTGAACATGGCAAAGCTAATCCAAATTTGTCATTCTGGGTTCATTTAACTGTTAATAGCTAAGTGAGAAATCCATCATGATTTTCCAGGACACTTGGCCTTGGGATTTTAATAACTTCTTATAATGACCACCCTTAATCAAGATGTAACTAAAGAATAATATTCTAGTATAATGGTGTATACTCGCTGCTACAGACAGTTTCTTATTAAACATATGAAGTACAGACAGTACCGTAGTTAATTACTGACCACTTTAAAGAGGTATCTGAGAGTCACTCAGCCTCTGGGACACATGTGTGCAAACAAAACATATTAAAAGTTAGGTTATTTGCAAGTAGGCACATTTTTTTGTATTGATGATGTGGAAATAAACTTTATATTGAATTGAATTGAAATACCATCACTTTACAAACCGAGTTTGGGGCCATTTTTGCCAGCGACTGTCCTGCATTTTATACTCACTAATTTCATTTTTACCATGTTCTTAAAATGACAATAAAGGAGTATCGTACCATATCGTATTGCAGAAACTGTTAGTTCTTTTTATAAGCATGGTCACACACATGGGTACCAAGATATATTCTGAGTGAGCCTCTAGCACCCCCACCCACCTCAATCCCACCGAGTAGAAGCTATTACGAAGAAAGATTCTAATCACCAATATCTATCCTTCTTCATTACTGAATTAGTTAGTGCTGGAGATATGAACATAGGGAGGCAGGATGTTTTTTTTTTTTAATACACATTGATAAAATTCTAATAACCATAAAATGAGCAGATGAATGATAGGATATGAAATTAAAATGATTGTAAGATAAATAATGAAGTTATTAGATTAATATTATAACATAGCTACACATTTATTAACTACAGATGGAGCATTTAAAATTGCTTAGTATTATTATCAGCAAGTTAATGGCATGCAATTCTTTAATGTTTACACTCAACCATTCAATAGTAGAAAGAAAATAGGCACAGAAAAAAATAAAAATTCATCTACTTTTCAAGAATAATAGGCTGCATAAAATATAATTTAATTTTGGTTGGAAATTTAGATCGGGAGGTAAACCTCATCATTCAAAAATAATAATTCGCATTTTAATAAACACTTTTGTTCGCAGCATGAATGGTGAACTATGCTAATGGACTTCCAAGACTATTTATTGTAGGCTACTAAATGCAATTGTCTGCCAACTATGATCAAGCTTCATCATCAATATTAATTTGCTGATGATGTAAATCTTTACTACCCACAAATGATTAGCATAAGGATAAATCTCTAAATATTACAAGCAGACTATAAAGATTCCCCTATGTTGGGGTGCATCATTTTTCCTGTATTCCTACCTTCTGTTTACCAATCATTTCCTCGATCTCTTGCAGGTCGCAGACAGTTACTGTCTGCGATCTCAGCATATGATCCAGCAGTCTGAGCCAGTCTCGGAGTTCTGCAACAGCATTGTCAAATTCTGGCCATGGAGAATGCCCGATTGATTCCCTAAAGGATGGCGGACAAGGTGTTTGCTGCACTTCTGTTGAGAAAGATTGTATTGTTCAGGGTTAATGTGTACAATAGAAAAGTACATGTGAAGTTTGTATTGCAGTATAATAAGCATATATGCTTAAAAGTTCAGGAACTGTTACCACTAAAGAACAATGACCATCACAATGACGATAATGATGATGATGATGAATATGGTGACGTTGATGATGATGATGATGATGATGATAATAGTAAAATTATGTTTTTTGTTCAACCAATTACCAAAGACTGTAAACTGTTGTTGAAACCACTGCTAAGGTAAACAACTTATTGCAATTTTCTATTATATTTATAGAACCAGATGAAAGTTTTTGAGAAGGATGATGATAATAATGAATGATTATGATGACGACAACAACTAAGATAATTGTGATGATTATAATGATGATCATGGACAGGACAGAGTCCACAGAAATTACTGCACATTGGCAATTATGATCAATCCTCGAAAGATAATCCATTTATCCTAACTGTATTTTTATGGTCAATGATGAGGGACATACTATGTACCAGAGTACATCCAACCAGGAAGTTATTCTAACAACTCTCTGATCCAACAAGCCAGAATTTTGTTGATATTTACCTTGTTGTTGTACCCAGATGTCTTCTTCAATACTCAGTGACTTGATTGGTTTAAGTTGGGCTGCAAGATGCTGAAGTTTCTGCCAATCGCCATTTAGTTTTTCTACCTTCTGCTGAATATTATGTGGTATGCAAATACCAAGGCTGTCCCCATCCCTATTCATCCTCTCCGCCGTTGCATTTACGCTATCCAGGTTGGCCTGCCGGGCATGAATCGCTTCCTGCATAGTCTGTGAATAAGACACAAAATCGAGCTTTATTATTGTTGGTACTGTTTATTAAACTATAAAATTTTTAACTGCCCAAAGCCTGCTGAATTCATTAATTATTAAGGATAACTGCGGGTGTCAAGTCAATAAACTTAAACAATAAACTTGAATGTTTGAATTGCTAATACTGTACTTCATACACTTAAGTTATTAAAGATGCACTGTCGGCCCAAAAAAATAAATAAATAAAATAAATTGAAAAATACCTAAAAAATTAAATGAAAAGTTTTAATAGCTCATTTATAAGGATAAAATAAGTTATTCAATTCCAACCAGAAAAGGATTGAAAACAAATTAGTTTTGACTGATTTACAGACGTTTTCTACAAACGTCCTCAAATTGGTTACCAGAATACAGCAATCATTAGTTGATGAGAATATTGTTTTCTCAGTCAAATCTTTAATTGTAAGTTCATAAACAAAATTGAATATACATATTAAGCAATTCAAATTTGAATTTTTAATTTTTGTTTACATCATGACAGTAAGTGCATATTTAACGCAAGTTAGGAATGGGAAACTATAGTATCTGAATGTATTTGAATTTTAGATATAAAACATAAATGACAAATTTAGCAAAAATGACCAAAAAAACATAACTTACATTAAATTTTTTTTTTAAATGAAAAAAAAATCAATCAAGAAGTCTCACGATTTGAATTACTTTTAACGCTTAGATTATTTTGCTTATCTTATTTATTAATTTGGCAAAACATACAAAACAAAACATCCATACTCTTCTAGTAGCAAAAGCAGTCATAAAAGGAAATTTTGCCACAATAATTTCTATATACAACACAATAATACATGTACAGCTGATCATATTACACAGGCCCAAATGAGATTTCAATAAATGTATATAAAACAAACTTGACAATGACACATAAAAAACATTCCTAGTTTACTAGTAGCCCATTCCGCATACAAATACATTTAGTTTGGATATAATACTGTAGCATCGCCTTTGGATGTAAAATGCTTTTAAGCATAATACATCAAATTCATCTTAAAATTACATATTCTTTGTGAAGAACACTAGATTGAGACAAGGACAGTGATGCGCTGTATCCTTGCCCCAATTATCTGTATGTTGTTTTGCCCCAGAATAAACTAAATCTAAACAGTATAATACATAACTATGAATCGATGAAGTTAAGTCAAATGGAACAAATTATCTAGAAAATTAATGTACTAGTCATTAAGGTAAAGATTAAAAGAAATAAAATTACCTCCTCTTCCATATTGGAACTACAAAGTAACAGGAAATGTTTAATGTTTATCCTCCAACCATGATCACATTCAGAGCCTAGCAGCTAGATCACATGCACAATGAAGCCTGACTCATCCCTTCCTGTGCAATTTAGCTCCTGCTAACTATGATTAATTGAGAGGCCTAGCTTCTTTGTTGTTATAGTGGATGCAGTTGATGTAGCATGGGTTAATGACTGAAGGGAGAGACACAGCCTGGCGAACACGACCTAGCAAACACCGCACAGCGACACACTAAAATGTATTTACCAGCAGATCATAATGAATAAATTGAAATACTGTATACCAGCAATATTACAGTATTGCAAACAGATATTCATTCTTTTATGAAAATAAAGATGTCATTGGATTATTAATAATTATATTCTATATGATTATTTATTTATATTATGTTAACAGGATTTCACAATTATTTCTTTTTGAATAGTTGCCAAAGATTGTGAGGGTATAAATAAATAGCTCTAATGTAGTTTTTACACTGAAACTCATATGCTTGTCTTCCTATTGAACCTAGTGGTAAAATATTACCAGTACATTTTTAAACTTTTTAATTAAATTAACATAAATAAATTAATTTTAATTTTTAAAATACCATATTAATATTAACTTCTAGTAAACCATTCACAGATTCTACAACCCTGCCAAAGGCATTTTTAGAATCAAACCTCAAACAAATGGACTGGAATTATTAATTTTTAATAATCACCATTAAATGTTAACAATATGTTCTTATAATATTTTAATAAAATTAATAACATTAACAAAATATTCCAATATTAAATAACATATTTATCATTTAGCTCGTATCTTTTTCCCCGTTTAATATTTATTTTATCAGTGATGTAGTTATGGTGGGCAGAGGTGGGTGGACCATGGACCTATAATATGTCCATGGGTGGACCATCTAGCCTTGAAGTTTTGCGCTCAGTCTAAGTCTAATTTCATCGCCCTCCCCCCACATTTATCATTTCCCTTGCCCATCCTTAAAATAAATTCTTATTATTTAGAGTTTGCTAATGTTATCACCCACCAACCCTTAAAATGTGTACCACACACCCTTGCTTTTCTATAAATACATCATCTGAACAACAAAATCTCATATCTTTAGTACCCTGTTTAACATTTGCTTTATCAGGAATGTAGTTATGGTGGGCAAGGCCGTCCGGCCTTGAAGTTTTCCACCAATTCTAAAGCTAATTTTTAAAGATATTGGGTGGTGGGCTGTTGGGCTTTGTCTTATGAGGGGATTTGTCAATTTATGTTAAATATATCAAGATGCAATACTTTAATCTACACTAAACCTATCGTATATATATTCGCATACAAGAGGCTTAAAAAAGCATGTGATGTACACCATTTCAGATTTTAAAAAAATCATTTGTCTTATCTGCGGATCATTCGTAACATGCAAGTTTACTACTGCAATGAAGCTACTAACTGTTAGTATGAATGACTGCAATTACTGTAAATGCAGGCCGTATGTACGACTTTGATGAATATAAAAGCCCATAAAATGGTATTACTTGGACGAGTAGCCCTGCATTTCACTCCGTTTTTAGCAAGAAAGATGCAGTATCAAGACAATAAACAGCAACAAAAATCATCCAAAAATCAAACTCGCGGGTCGTCCCATATGCATCGCCTTAAAAGAGAGTATATACAGGAAGTCTTTATTTTGAGACTGGTGATTATTAATTGTTATCAACTGATTACATAGATGCTATTAGAGTATTCCTAAACAATTCTGAATGAAAGAAAGAATGTCATCGTTTGACCTACATGATGAGCAGACACGCAGTATTTTTTGCACCATAATTATGCAGTTTGCAATTCACGAACCTCAGGCGATAAATAAAAACACCTTTACACAGTACACTGGCGTGATAGCCAATGGCTACGTTCTACATCTCCTTGTCCACAATAGCTATTTGAACAAATTGTAACTGATGGATGCACTAAAATATTGATGTACTGGAGATATAAAAAAAAATGGTGATTTTGTTTGGCTAAATATGACGAAGTTCTAAGCCTGTTCTGGGTTCAATGATTTGAAGGTAGACGTTTTCAACGACTTCATAATCTCAGTAGTTATTTTATGTCTTTTTTTATTACTAAGCGCTTGAACTAGAAACAGTCAAGTTACTTGTAGCCAACTTGCGATATGGCTCATATAAAAATATACTTTTGAGATAAATCTTCTATAATGACTGTTTTCCCCATCTCCTTTGTTATTTGCAATGGTAAATTGGCTCTTGTAAACATTTGGTTCCTTATTAAATATTTATAATTTTCATTTTTCATTTTTTTTTTGTGGTATTAAGATACAAAATACTTTAATCTTTATCCACAGTTAAAATCTTGACAACAAAAATATTTACAACTTGTTTTTCAATAAGGATTATCCTACTTAATATTCTAAAGCTTAAATATTACACATAAAACTTTCATGAAATAAAAATATCGTACATTGGTAAAAAATAACGTCATCTCAATAAAAGGAAGATTAACAGACAGTTTTGCATAAAATGAGACTAAAAAAGAACTCATAGTTAAACTGACAAATTAGGGATTTACAATTGGGGATTTTAAAAAGAGTAAACAGGATTTTTGGGTTGTGATAACAATTCATAGGCTCACCAAAGTTACTGTAGTTTAAACGTAATTTACGATTTTTATAACATTTTTTATAATTAGCAAGATAAGAGTTTATACTGGGATAAAAAATATATTGCAAAAAGAAGTAATAAATAGCAATTCCACGCTATAGTAACAATATAATATCTGTCTTGGATTTTAGTAATTTTATAAAAAGTTATTTTATGCTCACCAAGTTTTTAAACCTTATATAACAATCAACAGTGATTTGTTTTGCTATTTGTTAATCCAATCAGGTTGTTAAATATCAGCTCCTTCCTTTCTATTGGCCTATGAATTTCATTTTTTCATGTTGTTTATGTATCATGATGAAAAAATATAAATTCTAGACACTTTTAGGTCCTGAATATGCCTCCACATCAGTAGTGTCCCCTGAATAAGGATTAAAATATACTTTCCTTCATTTCACATATGAAAAAGTGTCCTCAAAGGAGAGGATTCTACTGTAATTGAAGAACATTTTCCTGACGGAGATACTTTGTAATGGTATATGTACTTGCTCAGTTTTCCAAAACATTATTGTAAGACAATCACATTGTTTACCGTTCCAACTGGCCTGTCAATTATGTTGCATTAAGAACTTAATCATGTAAATTACAGTGACATCTCAATTTTACATATACAGTAGTACTGGACCAAATGCCGTATGTAAATTGAAAGAATTCATAAAATCAAGTACGAATCAAATTTGTACTTGATAATAATTTGTACATATAAATGTGCGTACGTGATAATAGGAAGTGATACAGTAAGTATAGGACAAGTCAAGTACTGTATTAAAAATAAGCAAGAAGCTTAAACATTGATAATACCGCGCACGGCACTCCTGTATTAAATAGTTATCATGTCTACGCACAGTATAGGAGTTACTATGGTAACATCTTTGTTGAAACAAACGTTTACTGACGTAAAAACAATGCCTTCAGAGAATGTGTGTGAAACTATTCGCAAAGTCATAGCTAAACAATCTGCCCTGGAAATGAAGTGTGCGTCTAAAGCCATTTTCAGACAGACACAGAGGTTCTGGCAAAATTGCGTTAATAATACTGTTATACTTTACTGACGTGGACCATTCCTACAACGAAATATTGCGGTTATATTGCTTAATATAACACCTTTCTGTATGAATGGATCAAACATGCTGAGAGAGCAAATTGGTTGGTCTTTAAGTCATTACAGACTGAGGGCGTGCTTAATTGTTTCTAAAAAATTGCTGATGAGTAAGGAGTAATATAGCGAGAATGTGACCTGCTTTTGTTTCAGATACACTCCGGAACATACCATAACCAGAATACTGCGGTAATATTATCTTTTCATTGTCTAAAAGTCGATAAAGGTGCAGAAACGCTTATAATCCTTTGTTCCCAGCCAGACATTGCATACCTCCAACTGGAAATAATGAGCCATGGCTTTAGAGCATGATTGAGCATACCTTTGCTGTTTCCAAACAGTGTGTGGAAAAACAACAAAGATGTTTACAGTTTCTAGCAGAATATACTTAAATAAATATTATAATTTATTGTAATAAAAACAAAGTAAATGAAATTTACATTCCAAGGTTCAACCAGGGGAGTATTTTTTGTTCAAACTGCTTATTGTCAAATTTACCATCAAATACTGAAGGAGAGAGAGATAGGAAGTACCAAAAATCACTAGTTGTTTTTTACTGTTATGAACATCATATGAGAAATGAATCATGTAGACAGCAACCCTTTTTTGTTTGAACAGTCACATATTTGACTATGTCCATGAAATATGCCAGATGGTGCCACAGACCTACAAACGTTAACCTATAAATGGCAAAATATATAAGTAGGTATTTAAATTTGATGTCTGTTGTTGACATAACACACCAATTGTCGATTACTGACAACCGATTGTAAAAACAATTGAATATGCTATTTTTTATTACAGAATACAAGACTATAGTCATTTTTTAAAATATCTGTATTTTAGACAGTTATCAATAGGTTTATTTCGTTTTGACCGATTGATAGTATTAAGTCATCTGCCTTCACCTAGCTCTGGTAACCTTTATTGTTTAATGATCAGCTTTCTGGATAGATAAATGGCTCCTAAAATATATGTCTATTGTGTTTTTGTCACTTGTCATGTTGATGGCCCTAATGATATCTTAGGGAGATGCATATGTCATATAAATAATGGCTTGCATCCTCCAAAGATAAATTATTACCTTTTTGCAAGCCATCTGTGGCTAAAAGTCCCTCCTCGCCTTCTTATTTCTCAAGAGCATACATGCACATACTCAGGATTCCTTAAAGGGGAAGAATACTAAGAGAGCCAAGGTACAGCGAAGAAACTAGCTTCACTGGTGGGATCGATGAGAGCAACTCCAATAGTGTTCAGGGACTGAAGACCAACACTTTGATGGTATCTGAAGCAGGAAGATGTAGTTTTGTTTATCAGCAAAGGAATCTCCCAAGAAAAGGATTCAACTGAAACACTACCCTTCACTGGTAACTATCCTTGAATGTCCTTAGTCTCTCAATCTATTGAGTAGGAGTAAATATCGCATATATTATAAATGATAGTAGTGGTAGTAGTGTTAGAACTTACCGTTGCGTCAACGATTACTGAATCGTTTTCACCGTCTTCGGTTACGGATCCAACCGGCCCTTGCTGTGTTTTAAGGAGCTCCATGCTAGCACACACCCAAAGCAGTAACTCTTCTAGCTCCTCGGAAAAAGTTGATGTAACATGTATTTTATCCTCTAATTGAAGTCGGTATTTTGGTAGAGCGTACGTAACCTATAAAAGAAAATAAGTGCAATTTAGTTAAAAATTATCTGAAGTTCCAATTAACAGTCACTGTAGAATGATGTAATAATTAATAAAGTAAATTACGTATATTATAAACTAACACAGCCACCAACAACTTCTTACTGCATCAATGACAATGTACTGGTCAAATGCCAATTGACCACTCTAAATCACTTAGAACTTCAAATTCCATACGTTGTCAGAATGTTTTGCTAATGCTCCAAAAGATACTGAAATTAACCTGCGTACATTATAGAGGCCATTTATTCACCATATGCTTGTGAGAGTCATTGCCAGCTACTAAGGTGTTCCTTGGCTTGGGCCTATAACTAAGCACATCTCAAAATAAACCTGCTAATTTGAAAAGAAGCCACAGTTAATAATTTAATATTTCCTCATTTAATTTAATAGAACACCAAGTATGAAATTTATACTTCCATTTAACTTTAGATCCACTGCAATTCTAGGTTACAGTAGCTTGGATTACACGGCAGAGAAATCTAGATTGGACTTCAAACATAATGATGCTGCCTTTCCTTGCCACTTAATGCACACACAATCATCAAAAGAAAGTAATCCTTGCTGAGCCACTAGGGTTCGTAGGGCTTGAGCTTCACCCCAGTTTCAAGTAGCCTGAAGCGGATAAGAGTGCGATGCTTCCGCTGGGTGAGACGCTAGTCCACCGCAGGTTACTCCCAGCAGTTTGCGGTACCCATTGATACAGCTGGGTAGACTGAAGCAATGTATAAAGTGCCTTGCTCAAGGACACAAGAAAAATGCACAACGAAGAAATGAAACCCAATCATTGAGTCGTTATTTTAAAAACTATTACATTTCTTCTTACATTTCTTCATATAATTTAATACAAAGTGCATATTTTTTCACCCACTATAATTCAAATGACTGCTACCATCTCAGGATCTCACATTATGTCTGTCGTTACTACTTTGGCTAAGGGACTTGTAGCAGTCACAGTAAAGTTCTACCTTGTGGTGAATTAAGACAAAAATTTCCTAAATTGCTCAAGAGAAATGTTGCATACATGGGGCAGTTTAGGACAGTGAGCTAAACATTCCAGAGGAAGAGTAGCTTTAGAAGTAAAATTTACGGAATCAAGAAATTTGCATTGGTTCAGCGCTCATACAGTGGCTACCGTGAAGATTTACTCATTAACGATAATGTATAAATGATACATCCTTTTACAAGCAAATATATCCTAGAGGTGAAAATTGAATACAGTTAATCGTTGAATTGCAGACATAGTGAGGTCCTTTAAAACAGTATATATACTTAGATACCTATTATAATCTTAGATACTTATTATTAGTCTAGGTTGACAGATTTCATTTTCAGTAGTGATCCAAATGTCATACAGTATTCATAAATACGTCCCCAAGGAGTGACAAGCTCTGCTAAAGCAAGGGGGCTTTATAGCAGCTTTGACAAAAGATTCAACACGTCTTTAAAAAACTCTTCAACTTTAACAACTGAACTTGGTAAGTTTCATACATAATTTGTCAATTGTTGGGCATATTCGACTGGTTCATTTCATTGATTACGAATTTTGGTTGAGTATTATCTTCATTCGACTGGTTCGTTAAACAGACTTCGTTGACAACGAAAATTAAGGTTAATCTGAGTGCGTTAATCTGCGTTAATTTATCCATGTGACCAAAACAAACATGGCCGATTGGTCAGTTTAGAAACAACATTTGTTTTAACATAATTTACATTAAATTTCTGAAAATAAAAATTATAATATTTACACACATGAAGTCAAAAAATAATTGTAGCCTAACAGAATTAAAAAACTGGACGAAAACATTTCTTTTAAGAAAAATCCATACTGTCACTAGCCGAAGCAATCTTGATTACGCAGCTTGTATCGCGGTAACTGTGCAGCCATTTTGTTTTGTCGAGTATTTACAAGTTTTCTATTCGACTGGTCGTCTTCGTTAAGTAGGATTTGACCACTGCGCAGGTGGGCATGGTTTAACGAAGAACAATCAGTCGAATACGGCCAATGTCTGCTTACAATGGATGTTTCATTTGCTACAGTATTCAAACAAAATATCATGATCATTAATATTGTTTGTATGTCTGTAGCTAAAAAATATTAGTGCTTTTAAATCAGATTAACATAGATTAAAGGTATATTATCAAAGATTAGGTTAATCCAGGATTATCTACACCATGTTGATGGATGTAGTCATTTTAAAGAAATACCAACATCAGAAATTTAAAAAAATATTATGTCTGAATATGTAGCAATGTTGCAAAATATGAATATCTGACCTTTTATATTATTAAATGGTTGTAAGGAGATAAGTACTTTGAAATATTTATTCCCAACTTGATAGTACATCCATCTACAATGTCTGTATTACAATAATTTTTTTTATAGATTACATTATATTTATCTAAATCAAAATTATTTCATAAATCATTGTATCTTTGGAATACTATTTGCAGAAACACTACGCTGTAAGGCGAAAAGCGGATTGATGATGTATCTATTTCAAATTAATGTTGAAAATAACCATCTAACTCTACATACTCGGATATCTGCTAAAATACTGAATGTAAAATAGGGGACATCTCTGTAAAATGTGTGACTTAGGTCTGTGACTTAGGAACATATCCCAGAATACAACACAGGAAGTATTATTGTCTGGAGGTCTAACTAAAACATAAACTAACAAATATAATCCTTTAGGGATTTACTAATATCCTTTAAAGTCACCAAAATAGGAAACCTCCTAGGATCACATACATATAAATCGCTGTGCTATATTATGTTGACACATCTCAAACAGTTACTAAATTTAATTTCTAATCATATAATCTATTCCAAGGACACATAATGTCTTTTGTTCCTAAAAAACAAAAAACAAAAAAACAAAAAAAAAAACACAAAAAAAAAAAATTAAAGGAAAAAATTCCCCACTTCAAAACCAGAGTCCAGAGGAAAACATTTTTTTGATATGTTGTTACAACTTATTTTTCGCAGACACAAAAGGGTGTCTGACAAAAAAAACTAGAGAATAGTTAACGAGATACATATTTTTGAATATTTAAAATCTGGGTGAAAAAGTAGAAAAAATGGTGGTTTATGCTCTTTTTTTCATCAAACACCCTTTTTTTTGTCTTTGAAAAATCAGTTGTACAACATATTTCAATTTTTTTTCTCCTGTGCATCATTTCCAAGTTTTGTTCTCCAGCTTGGTGGAGCTCTTATAAGGTGATAAATGATTATTGTAATAGGAATTAGGATGGCAGCGTTGATTGATAGTCTGTTTGAAGTTGCAAGAAACGGTGCGAAAATTGAAGGATCCGGATATGACTCCTGGCCTTATGTGTCAGTACATTAATAAATAGCTGACGCTTTTGCAATCAGTTGATGTTGCACAATGCACTGTTGGCATTAATGCGTATCTAGGATTGACAAATAGCAGTTCCAAGTGACAAGAAAGGGTGTAAAATCGAATAATCCAGATTTCACTCTCGGCCACATCTGTTGGTATGGTAACCAAACAGTTGATGCGATTGCAATTAGTTATGTCATGCGACACATTTACATAGGATTAAGGGGCACCTACAATTCTACAAAAAAAAAAAAAACTAGTATTAATATGCCTTGAAAACAAGTATTTAAAAAAAAAGTTAAACTTACCTTTTGCCAAATATCATTCAAATTGTTTAAGGAACTTTTAATATCCTGGGCTTGTTTCTCAGCTACAGCGCCCGATAAAAGCAGTTTCTGGCCATTCTGTTGCAACCGCAAGCACTGTTCTTGTCGTCTGTTCAATGCTTCCTCGCGTTCCTATCAACAGGAAACAGGTCATGAATTGTTAAGTCACTAATAACAAACTTTACTTCATTCATTTGTATGATGGTTAAAAAAAAAATCCCCTCTACCCAGTCATGGTCAAAAACATATGGCTGATTAATACTCATTTCCAGGTAAAAAACATCATGACATAAGTGTTAATTACACCAATCAGTATTTTAGCACTCAACATTTCCTAAAATATTAGTTCCAAGTTTAGCACAAATGCAATTTTGTAGTCAGACCTAAAAATCATCAAAGATGTTAGTTGTGATATTAACTCAGAACGCCTACATAATACCGCCGACGACATCATATACACAACTCATTATTGAAATGAAACTCTCACTTCATTTCTCTGTGAATGGCCTTATAACTTTCCTTTTTCAGGAATTACTTCATTTATTTCCATCTCATTTGAGGGGGAAAACAGTACACTACACTCATGTACCTGTTAAGATCCAGTAAAAATATCTACTAAAATTCATTATCCTGAGAATCAGTAATATCAATTAAATATCAACAAATTTCACAATTTACAAACAGATAGTTCAGCTTAATGAAATGATAAAAGATATTTTCGAACGGAAGAGAAATACTTTTCTAAATTGGCTTATCCCTTTCAGTTCCCATGGGACAAATAATTAGCATGATAAATCTCAGAACCTTTAGTTCCAGTTCAAATCAAGAGACAGTAAATACATAAAATAAATAATTTAAATCACTGAAGATAAATATTATTATTAAGACTATTAAGGCTGGAATAGGCCTATCTTGCTGGACGGTAGGCCATGCGACATTGTTATACAACCGTTTTGCTCTTCAATATAGACTTAAAAATTTGTTGTATTTTTGTGTATTTTATATTTTCTAGGCATAAACACATTTCCTACTGACCTACCCATTTTTTGGATTTTCCGAAAACGTTGCCAACACAAGAATTTGTTTTTTTTTTTGCCTCACACAGTAAAAAAATAAGATAGATAAAAATTTAAAAATGCTATAAACAAATACTGTAATGTAATAAAAGTAAAATTCATTCAAGAGGCCTACAGACAGAGATAAAAAAAAAACAAAAAACACTACAATAACAAAGCAAGAAACGTTAATTTAGATTGCTTTAAGACTGTCTCTTATACACATCTAGATGTGTATAAGAGACAGATTTATGGGCAGATGCGTGCAGAACATCTCAAAATATACCTTGGATAGCCAGTATCCCAAACAGCAAAAAGATAAATGACATGGCAATTATTAAATATAACCCAAATAAGAAACTCTATTTAAATATAAAACAAGAAAAAAAAAATGAACCAAAACTAAAATAAAAATGAAAGGACCACTCCGAGATTATGCAACTAAAGAAACAACTGAACGTGATCACATGCAACATGCAACCCATGATGCGGCCCTCTCCCCCTAAATCTGCCAATGTTAGTAATTAACAATTTACATTAACTAAATATACCTTAACAACCTGTAGCTTTGTCTTGAGTGCATCAATGTTTCCAGGGAGTGGAGGGGGAGAGGATGCAAGTTTTTCCAACTCTTCAGTAAACTGGATTATCTCCATCAATTCTTCTTGGTATTCATCCATTTTGTTAGTAGTTTCTTCAAATCTGTTTTTAACAAGAAAAAAGTTCATTGTTATCTAAATTTACTTAGTCACTTTGCTACTTTTGTTATTTTCACACCTGTTGAAGTCTTAGATATTTGTGTATTACGAATGTATTGTTATTTTATAATGGGTCAGTTCACATTATTCACGACAATACAAACTGACTGACTATGAAGTTAACAGTATACCAGACAATATTCATTAACTTGCCATCATATCCTCCAAAACTCAAATCCTAAGCCTCTCTTGTAAGAAACTAAAATTGATTATATATTTATTTAAACCTCAATTAATGTCAAGATTAGCTGGATAAGTTTAAAGAAAAGAAAACTCTACCAACCAGACACAAAAACCGAGTTACCAACCAATAATATATAGCATAAATTTAAGATAAAAAGTTTGGTTTTTCGTGTCAACACAAACGAGCGCTGAGGTAGGCCACAGTGAATGGCCAAAAACTACATAGTAAGAAATTTCCCTTGTGTTCAGACCAAAAGCTTAACTTGGGATATTTATTATGTGAACACCAAGCAGACACAGATGAGCTATTATTCCAAAATATATACTGTACGTAGTTTGAAGACAGCTTTCTGATAGCTTGCAGTTTAAGGATAGTATATGGTTTAGTTTTCTTTTCCCTTTTCATATTCTTTAAGCGCTTTGACACAAATGTTAAGGCGCTATACAAGTCCATTTCCATCATCCTTTTATTCTGATTGAAATGATCTGTGTTTCAATACCTCTTTTTGCATTTCGCTTAAGTCCTTGAGCGAAGCACTATCTGCATTGCTACTCTCCACCCAGGAAATAAATGGGTACACAAGGAGGTTCGAGTGCAAAATGCGCTGACATACTTCATGCAGCAAACTTTGGAATATCCCCCATAGGCATCATTCCAATGACCGGGGTAATGTGGAAAAGTGCTCTGAGACTTGGGCCCCTCTCCAACTTGGGTTTTTTTCAGCATACGAGTTAGAAGAGTTTGCAGATTTGCTAACTCGGCAAAAACTCATAGAATGATCAGGAAGCTCAGGGAGAACTCGTACCTACTTATAACGGCCCTAAACTTGTGGCGCTAATTTTCAACATGTTTAAAATTAGTGCTGCGAGTTGACAACTTGTAGTGAACTTGAAGGACTCGTAGGTAACTCGTAGAGTACTCGGGGTACACCTACCTAACTCGTACACTACTCGGGATACTCGTTGGCAGTTTTGTAATCCATGAGTTTGATGCGAGCACCCCGAAACAGGTACAAGTTAAGTACGAGTGCACCGAGTTGGTTACGATTACCAGGAACATTTGATCGGAATGCTCGTACCTAACTCGTATCTAATTCTGTAAAGCTTGTAATATACTCGGTGCTTCGCTCGGCATAAACTCGTAACCAACTTGTAAGGTTGTACCTCACTCGTAGCTTACATGTAGTAAGCTCGTAGGTCCTTTCCCAAGCGAATCAAATCACAGGTTTCACAAGTTTTTAACTCAGAGAACTTGTGCGATCCTTGGATGAAATCAACCTAGGTGGGAGAGGGGCTAGTTGTATAGAGTACTATATAAAAACCTACATATTATTATTGGAACTCTCTACCTGTGATTTGCTATGATACAGCTATATTTACATCTGGATGAACTATGAGTTGCTGTTTTTACATCGGGATGGACTATGACATGTACTCATCAAACAGTAAAAGATCAACCTTTATCCTGACTGTACCTCACTTTCTAGAAGGCAAATTCAGAGCAGAGCACCCCCTCCAGAACTTGCTTCTCTTTAAAGGATGCAACAAGTTCAATTCGGATCATCCTCCAGAACACACTTCTCTTCCAAGGAAAGTACGGAAAACCTTCCAATAAATATATATTTTTATATCTAGAAAGCACCTTTAGAACAGACAATATGCCTCCTTTAATTAACAGAACTTCCTACAAACCTCAGCGCATGCAACTTTATCAGAAGTTACATTGATGTCCTGGAGACTACCCCAGAGTAGACCAGTTATCTCTTTTGACTAAGATTACTTCTAATTCCAAGAAGAGGTAACTTAACTCAGATCACCACAATACAGTAATTTAATAAACTTACTTCTCTTTCCAGGAGGCAACCTCAGTGCAGACCACTCTCCATCTTACATTCAAGTGGTCTAACTTCTCCTGCAGCATGTTTCCATCAACTGCTGGTAAGCCTTGAATCACAAGTGTTCCAGTATGGTTCAAACTAGTGACTGTCTGCTGGTGTCTTGCGATGCCATCTTCAAGAACCTTTTAAAATAAAAGAGAAATCAATTGTTTATTCATATGATGAGGATGATGATGAAGATGATGACGACGATAATAATAATAAAGTATTTATATTGCACATGACACTTTAACAAGTCCTCTGTATCTGATTTAAATCATATTCATGTTTGTAGCCTGAACCTGTCTCTTATACACATCTGGTACACAAGGAGGTTCGAGTGCAAAATGCGCTGACATACTTCATGCAGCAAACTTTGGAATATCCCCCATAGGCATCATTCCAATGACCGGGGTAATGTGGAAAAGTGCTCTGAGACTTGGGCCCCTCTCCAACTTGGGTTTTTTTCAGCATACGAGTTAGAAGAGTTTGCAGATTTGCTAACTCGGCAAAAACTCATAGAATGATCAGGAAGCTCAGGGAGAACTCGTACCTACTTATAACGGCCCTAAACTTGTGGCGCTAATTTTCAACATGTTTAAAATTAGTGCTACGAATGACTGGTTTGACTTGTCTAGATGTGTATAAGAGACAGACAACATAGAGAATTCTGAAAAGAATTTTTTTTGTTGAAAATGTCACGATGTTGTGATTGAGTTGCTTTAATCATCATCAGGATATGTAATATGATAGTGTCTGTTTATTGAAACAGACACTTCTAAAAATAATAGATTTCTATGAAAATCTTTAATGTACCAAATTCTATGAGAAAAAGAATATATTTCAAAAAACTAATTTATTACTTGGCTGTAAACTAAATTGAATTGATGTATTTGGTATCATTTATTACATTAGTTATTGAAGTACTAAGATGCGATTTAAATTTCAAATTACAATATATCAAATAAAGGCATTAGAGCACTTTGAAATAAGACACACAAAACATATTTTAATTATATTTCCTTTAAATTACATACAAAGGTTGACCAAAATACATATACAGTAGACAAACCATTCAAGTCTGGAATCAGGAAATACAAATCAGAAAGCAATTATTGGCACAATTATTATTAAAACAAGACCACAAAATATGGTCAAATATGTATACAAATGAAAAATCCATTATCCTCAGCTTGTGATACTTTGCATATTTAAGTATACAATATTAATAAATTTAATGTAATTGTAAGATGAGAAATTTGGTTTTCAGGGATTTTCCACATTTTCTCTACATATATTAATATATTGTTTTCGTTGTTGTGCTTTGTTTTATCTGTGCAAAATTTAGGTTTAGTTTTACTCCGTCAAATAATACCAATGGAAATGTTCATCTTCATTAGTTGAAAAATGAAACAAATTATTTCTCACTGGAAAGACAACTCATTTTGAAATTTCCCTGCTCATGTTTGACAAGTGATTGAATTTATGAACACTAAAAAAAAACAAAAACATTATGATGTTGGATGTTCACTAAGAAAAAGCCTAGGTGTCAATGCCAATGGATAAAGTCGCAGGTACAGTACAACATATTTATAACATCACTTAATGGGCAATTACAGCGAATATCAAAGCATTGTACCACAGCACTGCAACTCGATCCGATTTCATTCTGTGAGCACCACCATTCTCTAGAACACGCATGATGGAGCATGTGCACACGTTCTTCTACGTACTATGCTCATTGCCTTCTCGTTTTCTGACCAATTGCTATCATAAATTTGTCTATCAATCATCATTATACACATTACTCCACATTTAATGACTATGTGATCTAAAAATAATTGTCTGGAAACATAACAAACAACATTGATGAGAAGGAGTGCATAAGAAAATTGATCATAAAAGCAACAGTAATTTGTCTTTTACCTTTAGTCATAAATTCTGAAAATCAAATTAGCAATATAATCTATGTATGATTTGAGACCTCTGGATTAACTTGCCCAATGCTTTTAGAATCTATTAATTTACCATATCAATTCATTAAAATTAGTAAGAGTATTATTTATGCATTTAGCAACTTAGTAAATTATTTCAATTAATTTTGTTTTTTTTAAGGGTATAAAAATGTACATGTTTTAGTAATGCTTTTATCTTTATGAATCACCATTATTTAATTATGTAAGAGAAACCCAAGCTGACAAGCTTTGATAAGCTGTTTTAGTTTTCTATCTTGCTTATTACTTTAAACTGATTTATGTTACTTTTATTTCCTCACAGAAATTGGCAAATAAAAAAAGAAGCAGGGGTTTGTGCTTACTGTGGTTTTTCTTAACTGGCCAATTGGACCCGTAAATCAACTGGTCGTCACTCATTCACATACTCTTTCTATAACACAACCCTCCCCCCACCCCCGCGAAAGAGTATACAAAATAAAACAAGGATTTTTGATATTTTTACAGTCACTCGTCGCAAAAGTCCATTTTTAGTTATTAATGCTGGGTTAAACAGTAAAATAAGAGCATTAATATAGTAAAAGAATCATTTAAATCCAACATTTCGTTATGAAACTACAGTAATTTAAACATAAGCTGTTTAAAGTACAATATTTGAGAAATCAGCCTTCTTTACTATATTGGCATTGCTTAGGCAGAAACCACCACCAAATAGCTAAAAATTGCCGTTTTAACATTGAAAATGAGAAAAATAGCATGATGTACAGATATATAAAGGTTAGTTTAATGACATTCCAGCATATATTTTGGCCATTATCTCCGAAACAGGATTTGCGACGAATGACTGGTTTGACTTGTCTTTGCCACACACAAGATTGCACATGCCTATACTGTCAACACCCTACCCTCTAGTGTGCGCATTTGCACACTAGTGAAAATTTTGGAAATTATGAATGGTTTCTTTCTATCCAAGGTTTTATTTGACTTTTAGCCTTTTCCCAGATTTAATGACACTTTCTACTTAAAAGAATCCTTACTAATTTTCTTAAGTAAAAAAAAAATGTTATCTTCCTTAATTTAATCAATTTTTCATGTAAAACTTCAATTTCAGTGTATTGCAAATTGCAATAAAGTTTATTTGCATGTTTTATAAACATCCAAAAATGAGTCAGACTGCATCAGACGGATTTAAAGAAAATATGGAAAGTAATTATTAGTCCCACTAGAAAAAAATCCTTCCAGATATAAGGTATTTAATTTATCAAAGTAGTGGATCTTAATGTATTCCCAAGTCTTCAGTTTGCCATTTTACAATATCTTAGACCTTCTGTGTACATCAAATCCATGTTTTTATTTAATTTATTTATTTACAATTATAACAAAAAATGAATAGAAAATTTAATAAGTGAACTTAATAATACTAATTATGTTTTGATAACAATTTGTTTCAACATTAATGTATTCCTTCGCATTTATATAAAATTAATATAATTTTGATACAGAACAATAAATTTAATATTATTCAGAGGTTTTTAAAATGTTAAAAATTGGATGTCTATTAAAACATACTAAAAGAATTAAGCATGCAACAAAAAATATGATTTGATGAAATGTATCATCACTTCACTTTTGAATATTTCAGAACAGGTGTATGTATGTATAATTACATGTATGAATTATTCCAGTAATCTTAATGCATGTGAAATGACAGAGCAGAGAAGGTATTTATTTATAGAGAGAATGCAATGTCTTATAACATCTATAATGGGAAACCTAAAGGAAATGAAAAACAAATGTGACTCGATATTAAGGTTGGAAATATTAATATCATTTTAAAGCCAGTAAACGAAATACCAAGGATGTATATTATTGTAAATTACCAAATGTTCTGATTTAAATAAATATACTCTACATTTGTATTTTTCTTCATGACATTTTAAATGCTAAAATATTTTCTGAAGCCTAAAGTTTCCATTGATTCTAAACAGCATGTATATAACTGTTATTGGATGAGCTAAATGTATATTACTCTCTAATGCCCTACCTACATAGCAATAACTACATAATCACCGTAATAAATCGCAATGAGGAAAGCAATTGACATTTTATAGGGCGCCAAGAAGCATTCACAGACCAGCCTTTCTTGCAGGCTTCCTGGCAGCGTGTTCACCTGTATTGTTGTTTCAGATGAGTGGTGGTCCCGAGTGGAAACCAATTAGATTCTACCTGATTGCCCCGGTTCAATCGATGGTATTGAATTTTTAAGACAATTTACAGTGGTTGTTAATTATTTATTAATTATGTTTACAATCTTATGATTCCAAGAAACTAATTATGCAGGATTTTTGTGCATTGTTTTTATGTGGCCAGAATTTATTGTTCATTACACTTTACATAACACACATAATACCATTATACTGTATAGTACATAATATGTAGATAAATAATGAAACTAGTGAGATATTTGCACTACTCCATCAAGCTGCTTTTCTCAGAGAAGTTATAACTGCTATAAATATTTGGACTGTTGGTAAAGTGTACGTCATTAGGGCACAAGTGCTGGTTAAAGAATCTTTCCAGTGTATTGACCAATTTACCACCAGAGATGGTGCTGAACATCAACTGTTGTGAGTACACAGGGGGCATATCTGGAATTTTCTAGGTACTTAACTATAGTAGGACGAATATTTAACTTTACTTATACTAATCTGACCCCCTTCTCAATCAATTTACTGTTGATTTAGAGAATTTTGAATTATTATGACATACTTCAAGTTATTGTAATACCCCAGAGAACAGTTGTTTAATTATTATAAATAAATTATGTCCAATGGGAAAATAAATGTGTTGGAAAAAGGTTATTAGAATGACCAATTCACATGAACATTGCCTTGGTTTGATAAGATATGAATCAAACTGCTTAATCATAATTTCATTTGAATTAACTTATGTCATATTTTTGTCAGCCTACATTCACACTATAATTAAATGTAAAAAGCATGACATTTTTGCCTGTCTTGACTGGTGGTAATCTAATTAAGTAAATGCCAACTGTTAAAATACACACACAATTTTCGTAAATATATTTAAGGGTCATGATCTGTTATGCTTGGTGAAACTAAATCTATTATGGAGTGAAGATATTGCAAGGTGGTCAAGATGCTAGCTTCCAATCCTAAAGTCCTGGGTTCAACCTATATACAATTCTTGAAGCATACAAGGATTTAAATTTGTTTTTCACAGACTACATTTGTGACTTAATTTTGGAGAAAAGGTCAATAAGTTCATTGAGGTCAAGTACAAAACATAACTCATATTATGAAAAAGTTGGCTGTGTACGGCAAATGAATTTCCAAATATCGGCTACTTCAGAGATCTTATTTAAATTGCAACTGAAAGTTCTCTTGTTTTAATCAGTTGAACCTCAAATGTCAGATTAATGTAATAGTTGATAGTTGTAATGATGACTCATAAAATGTTATTTTAGGAAAAGGAAAGATCTTGTTTCCTTTAAATGTAGAAGGTCTAGAGGGGTATTCTATAAAGAGGTTTTATTATTTTTTTCTTTTTCACAACCAAAAAAACTTTACTTTCCAACCCTTTATGGCTAAAAACAGGATCCCAAATTATTATCGTTCAATAAATAATCTTATCTGAGAAAATAATCTTTCAATGAAATAATCAATATAGAGAAGATATTCATCTTAGTTCCAAGTGGAACCTGTTGATGAAAGGTTTCTTTCTTGTTGAACCAAAGGGATGGTATACTGGCTCCTCTCCTAGCCAGTGAAAATACAGTATCAGCAAATCACGATCAAAACGAAAAGTATAATTTCATTAAAAACAATCAATACAATTCTGGTTTTAGTGATTTACCTAAATTAAAAAAAATATAGTACTTTGTTTTATCAGACTTGTCTAAAACAAGGATAAACATTCATTGAGTATATAAAATGATGATTGTTTATACTATAGTTAAACTATAATGCCCTTGCTGGAACATGTGTATAAATATAGATTGCAAATGATATAGGAAATTGCTATATTCTACAGATGAGAAAGAAGGTTTATGCAATGTTTCTGAAGACAAATAGATATCTTTAAAATTTAAAGATATTCTCAACACTTGACAGTTTTTTTTTTTTCAGAAGCTATCCATGTGGTGATTGCAAATGGACACTAAAATATTAGGAAATGGCTTTAATTAACAAGAGAGGTTGGAGGCATTTCGATAATAGGTAGGAAAAAGAATTGACATTGGAATTATCATTATAGATGGCAAGAGAGGTTTAAGAAATGCCCATAATCTTTATTAGCAAAAGAAACAGGAAATAGCTAAAAATAATAAAGATAGCAAAAGGTTTTCTAAGAAATGTCTATTAATATAGACATCAAGAAGGTAAGAAAATGACTGTTGGTGTAGCATTAGCGATCACTATACAGTAGGTAACAAGGGAGACTTGCCCTCCCTTGCTCTTCCTTTCATCCTTCTTACTTAAACCTGCCTTATTTATACTTACAGGCTCTTTTTTTTTCGTTTCGGTGATGATTAGTTCCCCATCAGAGTTTTTGCATTCCCTCACAATAGCCTCAGCCTCCGTCAACCAACTTGCAAGGCTTTGCAAATCAGAATGCAGTTGCCGCCACTGGACGATATTTACCTCGAAGTTGCTACAAAGAAAAATAATTTTTTTTTTGTTAATTGTATATAGGGCACATGGTCTATTATCTATTTTGCACACCGTGAAATTACTCATCCTTTTTTTTAAAAGAATCTTTGAATTTCAATGCATAGACGACTAAAACTGTTCACTGGATCCATATTTGGAAAATAACAAAAAGTGCAACTTCTCTGCTCCCTATATCAATGCTACTATGCAAATGTACTTAACCAAAGTCCTTCAATGTTGCAACAACATACCAGGACCCCAGAGATACTCCTGAATGGAAAGAGGAAACATAGGTAAAGTTCCATACCCAAAGACACAAGAGAGAAGTTGTCTCAGACTAGGTTAAGCGTGAACACATCTGCCCCCACCAAACTGCTCCCCTTTTCACTTACTCTTCTTATTTTTCAAAACATATTTAATAGTAGAATGACCCTTCCAACTTATCCTAGAAGGTTGGCTAGTACCCAGGACTCTTATAAATAAATGAAATAATGAAACTTAATAAATTAATTTTCACATTACCAAGGCTTATACTGTAGAGTAGAGTTGTTTAGTCTTAAAACAAAAACAAACTGTGCCTGTCACAGGACTTGAGCCCAGAGCTAGGATTGGAAAGCAAGCACATTAACACCTTTACCATGTTGCATGAGCTCTCCATCTGGTGGGACTGCTTTCCAAATATTATTTTCCAAGTGTTGTGTCTGTTGTACGTGTTGTGTTTTGCTTCTGTTAGTTATTTTGACAATACAGTTGTGGCGCCCATGATTTCTGTTTAATGCTGTATTACATTCTGCCTTTAGTTTTCGCCCTGAACTATGAGATTTGGTGTGCTTTTATAACCGCAAGGAAAAGGCGTAGTATGAATACATTCCACTGTCTGTCCTATTAGTTATTGTTACTCCAATTACGTCTTTGTTGATTTTATATCGTTATTCACATAAATTGATATTATTAATGTATTAGATATGTATAGTATGCATATATCCATATCAATAACCAAGGTATTTAAAAAAAAATAAATAAAAATAAATAAAATCAGTTTTTAAACTGATAGTTTGATTACTTTATACATGACAGATCAATACAATTATAAATAAATTCAACAGAACCATCCACAGCTTGTTTCTAGCATAATTATATCAACTGCTTTATGGCCACTGTCATCTTCAAACTCAGAGACTCATCAAACCCATCTAGTATTTTCATGGAGAAATCAATTACTTGCTGTGAAGAATGAAATCAGAATTGTTTTCTTATCACATGACCCATGTCACCTGACCTAAATGATTATTCTGCCGTCCAATCATTTGATTTGTTAATTGATTGACAAATGAACTGGGTAATAACTTAGCTTAATCTACTGGATTTCAAGTCTACTCAGGCAAACTAAAATACAGATTTAAGGGATAAAATAACTATTTAATCTACCATAAAAACATCTACAGATGCCAACATTAACATGATGATTGAGTAAGCCAAGAATTATGAGTATGTAAATATACATAAAAACATTTTGGATATTACTAACAATTTTATATTGTACAGTAAAGTACTATACTTTTTATAGGTCGATCGAAAATCGTACAACCGCCGTCGGCCGACGAATCTCACTCCGCTCCCTGTGAGCGCTAGACGACGCGACGCATTCTGCTGATTGTCGGTGGCAGCCTGGACGGATCGTCAATAAATGATCAGTTGCGCGCGCGCCATTGGCTTGCGTTCTCCATAGAATCGAGTGCCCAGCTTCAGAACACGGAGGCCAGTGTATACTGGCTGTCTCTTATACACATCTAGATGTGTATAAGAGACAGAATCAACCATTCACCATCTCTTGGTCTATCATCACCAAAGCCCAGGCATTCAACAACAAGACGAAACGATGCGACCTATGTATATCAGAGAAGCTTGCCATCATCAACGCGGGAAGGACGGGACTCCTAAACAGAAGGTCAGAACTTGTATCGAAATGCCGCCACGAAAACAAGCACTACCTCCGAACAGCTACACCGACGTCCGCAATAACCTAACTTCATACTACGTCCGCACAAGCAAGTCACATCACCACACAACGTTCACCTTTCATCAGTTGCCTGACGATCGCAATAGCGTGAAACTCCGAGTAGCAACATTCTGTTCCAGCGACCTCCAGTTCTATATATATATATATATATATATAGTAATGTTTGTGCACTTTGCATATTTTATTGTATTAAACTACTTTACACAGATAGTTAATTTATTACAAGAGAGATAAAGTTTCCAAACAAGGCTTCATATTAGCTTTTGTCCCAACTTTAACAAATTTAATTGGATGGTCCACAAATTCTATACCTCATAAATATTAATTAGGTATTAATAACAACATTTCACTCTTCAATTCCACATAGTAAAGGCATGTGCTGGTTTCTACTAACTTTGTTGTTGAATGATTGGACCATGGACATATCTCCCAGCCCAACACTTTGGGTAGTACAATTTAGAGGAATAGCATAGTGGTTAAGATGCTTACCTTCCAATCACAGGGTCAAAGGTTCAATTCCTGTCAGTGTTGCAGGAATTTTTCCCATGACCAAACAACTCCACTCTCTAAAATTCATATTGAGATTTAGTTTATGTAAAGCATCATGTGTGTATGTTTGTCTTGTGAAAAGGATTGTCACCTACAAAGTATACAGTGATAACATTCACTATTGCTAATCCTTGGTGCATGTGTTATGTGCCTAAATAAAATTTTTAAAAATAAATAAAAAACCATGTTTTTTTTTTATACTATTCATCAGATTACCCTTTCCCCTAAGTTTTTTAATATTCAGTCATATGTTTCTTATAGCTGTTCTTAATTACTTCTACAAACATCCATTTAGTGTCTTGGAATATTCATTTCTACAACATAATATTTTTCTTCCTCTCCTAAGGCCTGGCTTTAATAAATGTTGTTGTTGCAAATACATTTGGTTCTAAAGGTTAAGAAACCTATTATTAGGTATAAAAAGTACAGAAGCTTGTTAATGCGATCTACTGTTCAAATAATGCATTTATCAGATAAATAACACCTATTGTGATAAATAATAACAGGTTTGTTGCACTGTACAACATTCAGATATCCTGAAAAAAAGTGTTGCATTGTTGTGAACGTCTTGACGTTTGAAATATGCTGCTATTATCTTTGGTTCACGTTTTCTTTACTGCCATTTGTTTTTACAACATTTGAATTAAACTTAATGATGCATTTATGTAACAAAAAAATAAATATAACAAGTCATCGATTACAGAAAGAAAAACACATCATCATGCCATATCTGAAGTTTTTAATTTAACACGTTGAATGCCAGACCGTTTTTTTAAATTTTTGCTTTTAACATTTTTTCAAATGATATATCATCAAAATGTGTCTAGTGACTAATGAAAAAAATTAAATGAAGAAATGGAAAGAAAATATCTGAAAAATAATGACAATAAATTTGATTCAAAACAATTAATATAGATTTAAAAAAAAAACTTATAAATATATTACCTTTCTCTGTCTTTAAAGTCATTTTCAACTTGGCTCAGTTGGCCTTTCATACGCTCCATATTGGCTTCTAATCGTTTCTTTTGCTCAGCAGTAGTTCCACACAGGACAGCATGCTGTTCTGCACTCACGCCCTCAACATTGGCAGTCAGTGTATCAAGAGCTTCCTTTATAGCCTGCCAAAGAAAACAGTAAACATTATGGTTTTAAAAAAATCTGATTTCTTCATAGACAATAGACGTTAATATACCATGTTTTAAATGGATATTAAAAACTTTGCTCTTTAGTGCATTAAAATTTCAACTTCGACCAAATACATTACCACTAAATTTCAGAACATCAAGATGGTTCACAAATAACAACGAAATATATACCCTATGCAAGTTAAATTCAGACAAAAATATTGGCCATTTCTTCTTAGTCTGCCCAGCATTACAAAATATACACACTGATAGAATTTCTAAATTGCAAATAACATTAGTTGAAAACATAGAATTATAATCAATTTATTATTGCAAACGATGACCTAAAAGTACATATTTTGGGTTGTTCATTGTTGCTACTTTAGCGGAAAGTATGAAAATATCTTCGACAACTTTTTCGAAAGATATACCAAATAAGTATGGAAATTTCGTAGTGAGATTTTGAATTCCATGCTCTGACTATAATACTATACAGTCCATCTCTGCTTTTCAATTTCATTTTACCTTTCATGCTGTTTTGATTGTTTGGGGAGGGAAGAAGAGTACTTAGAATATTGTTTCTGAAAATAAGGCGTAAAGTTTTGTTCACTTTATTTGTGGTAGGGATAACATTTGAATTTTCAGGGAAGGAGGGGAAGGGAGGAAGGGATTAATTTAACCCATTAGCGCCTATAGTTGTAATGTATTGTAGCCAATTACTCCCTAGAGAGTTTGCTGTATACGAAATTAGATTCTACTACAAATAAACTGTAATAAATTTTTTATTGTTGAAAATGTTCCATTACAAGTTGATTTTATTTTGATGCATATTAAATAAGCGTTCCAGTGATACAAAATATTTTGATCTTTGACTATGAAATTGTGACCTTTGACCTATCATAATTATCATCCAAAATTTGCAATTTTCTTTGAATTAATAATTATATATGATTTTGAATTTGCATACTTTACTAAATTGTATAATTATTTTATTGAGTGACATCAGTTAACTAAACCTTTGACATTGATATATTGACCTATTCAACTTGTATATGACCTTTATTGGTTTTTACTAAAAAAAAAATTATTATCATGTCCCTTTTCTAAACTTTGCATAAATAAAAGCCTATAATTATATAATATTATAGGGTGATAATAACTGATGTTTTTTATATGGCCTAATTCCCAAATTTCCATCACTTTCATATATAATTTTCGGTGCAAAACTAGGAGTTTGTTGATGAATAAACAAGTAGCCTTCTTGATTGCGAGTGTGGTGCAAAAAGTGGTACTGAAGCCCGAAAGCACCGCGCTGTCATAAACATCTATCTAAGAATAGAGCTTTTGTAAGGTGTTATTACTTACGTACGTACGAGTACGAGGCCAGCCTAAGTAAGTGTTTTGTACAAAGTATGCATTGGCCTAGGCATGTAAATAATAGTTACGAAATGGATGGTGGTGTGTCAAAATAATAATTTCAAACCTTCAAAACATTTATTGTATTATCAATATTAACCGTACGTAAAGAGGACACGAGCTCTGTTTACAATCACCATCGCTAGCCTAAGCCTAACCTATACCTGCCTGCTGTGCGAATGCCAGTAAATAAGAGTTTATATATACTATAATACTACAATTTTATGACCATATATTTTATTGTTTGGGTGACCTATAATATTACTAGCCTACGAAACAGCGATGTCGCTGTCGGTAGACAAATCTAAGGTCAATTTATCATTGAAAAAGTCTTCCCTTTCTAAGACGTTCAGTGCTTGCTGTGGCGTCATTTGTTGTGCAAAGTCAAGCGATTCTAAACTTCGCTTCTTCTCAACTTTTTGACCTTTGAACGCAAAGTACGTCATTTTTGCAAATAGAAACCTCATTAATGATGAGATATTCTGAAAAGGGATTTCCCAAAGTTTATGTAG